CGGCAATATCTTTTCATCGGTTGCGTAACGCTGTGTGGAAGCTACCTGGTCTGTCGCTCCGCACTAAGCTTCAGGTCTTCTCGGCCACGGTCATTCCCTCCCTTCTCTACGCTTGCGAAACGTGGACCCCCCTAATGGAACATCTTCGCCGGTTAGAAACATTTAGGCTGGCCTGCCTACGATCCATCCTGGGTTTAACCAGACTGGATTGTGTGAGGAGCTCACAAATCCTTGAAAGATCTGGGCAGGGTCCCATCGGTGAGCTCCTCCGGCAGGCAAGGCTGCGATGGCTGGGTCATGTAGCCCGCATGCCCAGCCACCGCATGCCGAAACAGCTTTTGTTTGGCCGGATTGAGGGGGCTAAGCGGGCGCGGCACGGGCTAGAGAAGAGATGGAGTGATGTGGTACAGGAGGACGTGGAGCTGAGTGGACTTGCCGATGACTGGTACCAGCGGTGTCAAGATCGGCCTCTGTGGAGGAGGCTCGTGAAGGATGCTACTGGGCAGTTGGAGGCAGTCGCCCTCCAACAACAACGGAGGGCGGAGGAGCGACGCTCACAACAGCGAGCGGAGCGCCGGGTGGCTAAAGCACAGCAGGTTGGCACAGTAGGGGGCACAGGTGGTGCATCAGCCAGTCATCTCAGTCAGTCGACCCGTGGCACCTGGGTCTGCCCCGTGACCTCCTGCCAGCGGGCGTTCGACACTTCACGTGGCCTCAGGGTGCACATAGCCTGGCACAAGCGTCGTGGTGACGTCACCGCCACTTAGTGGCGAATGGCGGTTGTTGTTGTTGTTGTGACTCTTTGTGTGTGACTCTGTGTGTGACTCTGTGCGTGTGACTCTGTGCGTGTGACTCTTTGCGTGTGACTCTTTGTGTGTGACTCTGTGTGTGTGACTCTGTGTGTGTGACTGTGCGTGTGACTCTGTGCGTGTAACTCTGTGTGTGGGTGTAGTTTCCGTGGCTGTGCTTTCTGTGTCACCTAGCCATGGCTGTAGGGTATGGCAAGGTGAATTCCAGAATCAGAATATGTATCTATACTGGAGACATCCGATAAGCTATAAAGCTATTTTTCACAGATATCCAGAAAGTAACAGGTCAAAAGGTTACAACACAAAACATGATGGGGAGTACAAAGTATAGAGATGGTGAGCAAAGCACTAAACACCTAAAAAAAACTATTTAATTTTACCAAGCAAGGCCCACGAAGCTATTAGTTTCCTCTTCAGAATGCGACCTGGTTGTCACAAATGATTGCTCAACGAAGTGTCTTTTCACGTGATAATTTATATCAGTCAAATCACCCAAATAATCTCAACGCATGTTTCCAGAATTATCTTATCGCTCAAGAACGCGAGCGTGGAGCGCGGTGTTGGGAGGCGAAGAGGGATGTTGGATTGAATGGGGCTTGAGCCATGGACCTGTTTTTCGTTATAATTGATGAAATACGAGGGACTGTGAATTGAACGAGAAATGCATTGCATTCATTCGCCGCCGCATTGAAGCAGCGGATCGGAAACCTCTCATGACGCGCGACTGGAAAGCCGGCGAATGTCACCGCAAGCCTTCGAGTGAATTCACGGCGAGCGGTTAAGGAATTTAAGGGGAATGCATCAAGTTGAGCCGATCGTGTCTCTTGGCGCCACCCACGCCAAAGGAGTGATGTCAGGGCGGTGTGTGAGACCCGGGGGGTGGGACCGGAGACCTTGGGTAGGGAGTTGACCGGCGGCTGTCGGGTATCGGGGGGCTGTCTCTCAGAGCTGTCGTGCGACTGAGCCGGAGTGGGGAGGCCACTGGGAAGTTAAATAGTTGGGAGAGAGAGGGAACAAAAACGTGGGGCACGCACTCACGTCCTCGACACTGGGACACCGCTTTAAAAAAAAAACCCTTTGTGATTGCGGGAGGAGACTTGCACTGCCTGGAGGTACGACCAAGCACGGAGCTCCATCGCAAAGTAAGTGCAAAGCTCCGTCAGAGGGCACAACACCGCGCTCCATCACAAAGCGTCTATTTAGCATCCAACGCAGAGTAAATTGACAGGCTCCATCACAGACCATGCATGGAGCTTCTTCGCAGATTAGGCATGGGGATACATTATAGAGCATCCATGGAGCTCCATCTCCAGCACAGAGCGTGGACGGAGCTCCGTGAGCTGCAGGAATTCAGAATACCCGCAGCCATTGTCCACCCGACGGTAAATTCTGTGATTCTGGTGATGTGGAACAAATTTCTGTAATACATCTGCACAGAACGGCGCGTGTGTAAGATTCACGCATCACGTTCTTGTCCGTTGCAGCTACTGCTGCTGCTACTGCGGAAACTAGGTCAGTGTACCTTAGTTTGGCTCTATGAGCCCCGGGCGCGTCCATCCACATGCATTGAAGGCTGCGCCGCGTCGCGAGTGCGATTTGTGTGCGTATCGCGTGAGAATGCGAGTGTGTATTGTGTTGTCTGTGTAAGTATTGTGGGGTCTTTGTCTTTGCATTGTGTGGGAGTCGTGCATTGTGTGAGAGTGTATGAATGTGGGGAGCGGTAGTGTCGTGGTTAGCGTGGTGCGCTACGAAGCCTCCAGTTCGATTCCCGGCCATGGCGAACATCATTAGCGTACATCTGAAACGGCCCTGTGCCTCCCCTAGGTCGACTCAGTCTCAAATGAGTAGTTGGTGCGGTGTGTAAACATCAGCACTGCGGGGAGACAAAGGCGGCCGGGCGTGGTGTCTTCCAAAACCATGCGCTTGTGTGCCGTGCCAGCCTTCATAGGTGCTCCCTTAACAACACTTGCCTCAGATGTCTGTGAAGGCTATACGGGGAATATTTGTCTCTCTGTGTATTGTGTGTGCGTGTGTATAACACGAGTGAACGCGCGCGTGTGTATAACACGAGTGAACGCGCGTGTGAATATAACACGAGTGAACGCGCGCGTGTATATAACACGAGTGAACGCGCGTGTGAATAACACGAGTGGACGCGCGTGTGTATAACACGAGTGGACGCGCGTGTGAATATAACACGAGTGAACGCGCGTGTGTATAACACGAGTGGACGCGCGTGTGTGTATATAACACGAGTGGACGCGCGTGTGTATAACACGAGTGGACGCGCGTGTTTATAACACGAGTGGACGCGCGTGTTTATAACACGAGTGGACGCGCGTGTTTATAACACGAGTGGACACGCGTGTGTATAACACGAGTGGACGCGCGTGTTTATAACACGAGTGGACGCGCGTGTTTATAACACGAGTGGACGCGCGTGTTTATAACACGAGTGGACGCGCGTGTGTATAACACGAGTGGACACGCGTGTGTATAACACGAGTGGACACGCGTGTGTATAACACGAGTGGACTCGCGTGTGTATATAACACGAGTGGACGCGCGTGTGTATAACACGTGTGGACACGCGTGTGTATATAACACGAGTGGACGCGCGTGTGTATAACACGAGTGGACACGCGTGTGTATAACACGAGTGGACGCGCGTGTGTATATAACACGAGTGGACACGCGTGTGTATAACACGAGAGGACACGCGTGTTTATAACACGAGTGGACGCGCGTGTGTATAACACGAGTGGACGCGCGTGTGTATATAACACGAGTGGACGCGCGTGTGTATAACACGAGTGGACACGCGTGTGTATAACACGAGTGGACGCGCGTGTTTATAACACGAGTGGACGCGCGTGTTTATAACACGAGTGGACGCGCGTGTGTATATAACACGAGTGGACGCGCGCGTGTGTACCCTGCGTTCTGTACACTGCGTTGTGTACACTCATCCAGATGGTTAAAGAACGTGGGCGTATGAATGATTAATGCGGAAAAGTGGAGATAATTGCTGGATAATTTCGCTAACCTTGCAAGCCGCCACTGTGTAATGTATCTCTCTATTTGATTCGGGTTCAACACAGGCCAAGTCAATGCATTTGTTTTGAGACTCAGAGTGCAGTACGTATCGAGAGTAATGTTAATGTGATTGAGGCTTACAAAGGTATACAGTATATACGCAGTACTTAAATACCGCTCAATCCACTGCTGGATGAGGGCTTCCCCAAGCTGGGCAAGTTCGTGGGGTGAACGATGATGTGGCCATACTTCACCAAGGTGGTTTCAGCGGATGGATAGGTGAATGTTGGGAGCGTGGTCATACTACGATGCAACAGTTGACTTCACTGCACTGACCACCACGTGCGACTCACCGCCTATAACACCTGCAGTGCAGGGTGGCCGCTCATCCAAGCACCAGCCAGGCTCAGAGATCCGAGATCTGACGATACCCGGACGCATTGCGGATAATTTGCTCACAATTATTTGTTTTACAGTATTTGTTAAACTATCCAAACACAGTCATTAATCCATGGGTTAATTAGCAGGTTATCAATATGCAATGTGTTGTTGTCGTTGGGTTGAGTGTAAATAGTTGCTTTTAACGGGTGACCGCCATGCACGCCAGGTGCTATAGGATGCTGCGGAGCTACATTGTGGGAAGCGCAGGGGCAGTGCAGCAAAATGCATTGTCGTACGGTACCTCTATGCTCCCGTGTCTATGCACCTTGCCTTCGCCCCACCCGCAATGACCGGCGCGGGGAAGTATGATTAAGTAGCCACCACGACATGCGTGGCATTTGGATGCCATCATCCATCGCACGGATTGAACCGATGGGGCTGTGCTTTTACATGATCTTTACTTACACATGATGATGATAACGATGCTGGTAGGGATGCCAACTTTTACCACTGTGAACCAAACCCGCGAATACTTCCGAAGTGAGCACCAGGTCTATAATCAACATTGTGCAGGTCACAGTAAAACAAATTCAACACAGCAACACCGGTATCAATCAAATCTCGGTACAAATGAATTCCTGCCAACACGGACACAGACGCCAATTCCCAGAATGTCCCGATCAAACCCGGGCAGGTGGCAACCCGTTCACGGGGATGACTGCGGTGACGGCGATGGTGATGTCGACGTGTTTGATGTTCATTGCCTCTGTACAGAATCACTGAAGTGAGCCAGAGCAGCTGAAACACCCAGAGACCTCGAACCTCAAGCGAGGAGGAGCCAGCCGCTGACCAAGGAGGTGCACGAGGCGATCCGGAGTGAGGGAGAGGTGGCCCAGGGGGGTGGGAGGGAGGACGCGTGCGGGGGGGGGGTGACGGAGAGAGAAAAGGAAGAGTGCGGGATGGGAGGCAAGGACGGCGTGGCGATGGCTGTGGTGGTGGCGACCACAGTCACGATGGTGGCAGTGCTTGCTCAGCTGCTACCGACTGCCGCGGGAGGAACTCTGGAGGTGCCATCCTCGTGCCCACCCTCGTGCCCGCTCACGTGCCCGCTCACGTGCCCACCCTCGTGCCCACCCTCGTGCCCGCTCACGTGCCCACCTGTGTCTGTGTGCGAATGTGTACACCCTTGACGGCCTTAACATGCGCCTCAAATTGTTTGTTGAAGCAATACTCAGGATCTTTGTGTGTACGCAGGTCTCCACATGTGTGTGTGTGTAGGTCTCAACAGGTGTGTGTGTGTGTGAAGGTGTGTGTGTGAAGGTTTTCACAGCTGAATTCACGTGTGATTATGTTGTGTACAGGTGTTAGGGTCCGTGCGTGAGTGTAGGTGCACGATTACAGGCGAGTGCAGGCGTGTGAACTTGTGCAGGCGTGTGCGTGTGTGAACTTGTGCAGGCGTGTGCGTGTGTGAACCAGTGCAGGCGTGTGCGTGTGCGAACGAGTGCAGGCGTGTGCAGGCGTGTGAACATGTGCAGGCGTGTGCACGTGTGAACGAGTGCAGGCGTGTGCGTGTGTGAACCAGTGCAGGCGTGTGAACGAGTGCAGGCGTGTGCAGGCGTGTGAACGTGTGCAGGCGTGTGCGTGTGTGAACTTGTGCAGGCGTGTGCGAACATGTGCAGGCGTGTGCGTGTGTGAACATGTGCAGGCGTGTGCGTGTGCGAACGAGTGCAGGCGTGTGCAGGCGTGTGAACTCGTGCAGGCGTGTGCGTGTGTGAACATGTGCAGGCGTGTGCAGGCGTGTGAACTTGTGCAGGCGTGTGCACGTGTGAACGTGTGGGCGGGAGTGGTAGTGTAGTGGTTAGCGCGCTGTGCACGGATCCCGGCGCCCCGGGTTCGATTCCCGCTCACGGCTATCACCAGTGGCGATTATTTAAACCGGTTCTGGGCCTCGCCTAGGTCGACTCAGCCTCAAATGAGTACCTAGTGCTGTGTGTAAACATCGCCACTGGGGAGACAAAGGCAGTCGGGCGTGGTGCTGACCACCCACCCTCTCCTCTGCCATGCCCGGCTTCCATCGGTGCTCGCTCAGAGCGCTTGCCCCAACTATCTGTTACAGGATATACGGGGACTCTTTGTCTTTGTTATACAGGGGTGTGTGTGTGTGTGGTGCTTCCCGGGAGGGGTGGTGATGAGACCCCGAAAAGTGATGTTTTTGAAAAAAAAATTTATTCGAGAAAATAAGTTGAAATATTTTCTATTATGGTGTCCGCAGGTTTGCGAAGGTGTGTACCTGTGCGTTTATATATACAGGTGCCTGATCGAGCGCGTTTACAGGCAGGAAATGGGTGCGCTGTCATCTCCTTGACCGCAGCTTTGCCCGCGGCAGTCAACCGCGATCCAACTTCTCTGCGGTCAATTCTTTACTCTGGGGATTTACGTTAGGCGGGTAGCAGGGGCATTTCCCGTGCAGAACACTGCCCAGTTAGGTCAATCCCCAATTGTCCAGGTGATGTACACACTTTCGCTCACCCTGCCTAACAGTTCCAACGTTCATTTTTTATTCCCTTCATTTCAAAACGTGCGCAGACACGTGCAGCTTTCGCGCCTTCTGGATTCCGCGTGTGCAGGCGGCTTTGCCCGTGTGAGCGCGGCTCTTGGTTACATCCTGGAGAGAGAGAGAACACGCGGCCTCTGCTGCTTATCCTGCATAGCGGCAAAGCCACCGCATACCCGCAGCCTTTCATTACGGGATCACCAAGACCCCTTCCTAGCCAAAGAGGCATCCCCATCAAATAAACAAACAAACCAAAATAAACCCAAGAAAATGTCGGGAGGTTTTTTTTCTCTCTCCCATTCAATTTGGTTTCAACCACCCGCGAACGCCTGACATCACATCGGGCTGATGTCATTCAAGACGCGTTGCGCTCAATCTCGTTGGACGGTCGAGATATGCTCCAAGCAGGAGCTAAGCCCCGGAAGATCCCAGCCCGCCCCCCCCCCCTAGGCACCACGGGTTGTTGTTGTTGTTGTTGAGAGGCCACTACCGGGGCGACGTGGCGGGCAGCAGAGGGCGGTGCAGGCGCCGCGGACTCAACTCGGGACTTGTGCCGCTTCCCACCACGCTCTGGTCGCGCCGCCTTCACCGACCCGCGTCGATGGAGGCCCTCATCTAGCAGTGGAGTGAAAATACGGCTGCGCGCGCACATAGCACGCGCGCACGTAGGTTGTGTGTGCCCCGAGTCTTTTTGCGACGCAAGTTTGAGGCATCATTAACCAGAAGGAGAAGAAAAAAACATATTCCTGAATTACAGTCCGGCCACACCATTGCGTCCATCTGTGAGTCAGCCTGTCAGTCACGGTGATGGCGAGAGTCGTTCTCGCCGGCCCGGCAGCGTTCGAGGGACATTGTGGAACCTGTAGATGGGCATGGTTGTCATTAATTCGTGGATTAGCACGGTTGGCTACGTACGGTGCGAAAGAAGTTGAACATATGTACACACATACACATACACACGTGCATCCACGCACTAGCCAGGCTTCAACCCTGCTTGGCTCCTGTCATCTCACGAGCCTGGGTGCTTTCCGCGCGTGAGTTGCTCAAAGTCATGCGTGAAGGTGCTGTCTTATTCTATTCTCGTTCGGAAAGCTTCGGATGGAGTGGGGGGGGGGGGGGTGGCAGCCCAGGGGGGGGGGCAGCCCAGGGGGGGGGCAGCCAGGGGGGGGCGCCCAGGGCCACGCGTCCCGCGCGTGCTTCCGAGGCGCACGTTGTGTCTAGTTTGTCGTCCTTCCCTCCCATCCGCCACCTCCCTTAAGCACGGTTGGCTACGTGCGGTGCGAAAGAAGTTCGTCGTCTTGACGCCGCAGGTGCTCACCGAACGGCTGAGGCGCGACGTGGACTCGAGCGTCGAGACCAGCCTCGAACTCGGGAACGACGACGACGACAACAACAACAACAACGGTGGTGGTGGTGGCACCAGCAGCAGCAGCAGCGGTGGCGGTGGCTCCCAGCCGGTCCACGCGGGAGGGGGGCGTCACCCCCACGTCTACAACCACGTGTACACCATCAACATGCCGCCCAGCGCGCTCTGCGGAGCAGCGCCCCAGGATGGAGACGCCGCTGCCGACGGAGACAGCGCAGGTGCCGGGTCGGCGCCGATCGACGCGGGAGGTGCAGCGGGTGAGCCTCGGGGAGATGGGTGGTGGGGCTAAGGGGGCTACGTGGATCGTGTTTTCGTGTGTGTGTGTGTCTGCATGTCGTTGTATTTACGTTGTGGGCGAGCGGTAGTGTAGTGGTTAGCGCACCGCGCTATGAACCTGGCGACCTGAGGTCCATTCCCGCTCACCGCCCACACCAGTAACGATTATCTGAACTGGTCCTGGGCCTCCCCGAGGTCAACTCAGCCTTAAATGAGCACCTGCTGCGGTGCTTAACATCAGCACAGTGGTGAAGTGCTGGCCACACCACCCCATCGTGTGCCAACGAGGACCTCAATACGTGCTCACGAATGGTGCTTTCCCTAACAGTCAGCATGGCTATATGGGGTGCACCTTTGTCTTTGTGCGCGTTCCTGTGTGCGCGCGTGCGTAAATGTGTGCGTGAGAGGGAGGAGAAGAATGAAATTCATACAAATAATAACATGTGGGTGGGTGAAGCGAGAGCAGTGAGGTCAGGGTGAGAGGTAGGGATGGGATAGTGTTACTGGATGGCTGTCGAGTGGGCTTCAACAAATGGGTGGAGTGGTGGCGCAGTGCTTTGCGCATCGCTGACGGCAGTGGCGAGTGATGCCTGCGCTGAGTACCTGCCTGGTTCTGGTTCCAGTTAGTTGGGGAAACCGTGAAGGGATTGACATTGCATCGGCAGTGTCATTGCCCATGGGGCTGGACCAGCACAAGCAAGCAGTGCCGTGTTAGTCTAATCCACATTGGCCACCAATCCGCTGCCCTCAAACAGAAAACAAAACGATCCTCCGCTAATGCAGCATTGTGGGGCAGCGACTCGCTGGTTAGCGCACTGCACTACGAACCTGGTGACCTAAGTTCCCTTCCTGGCCACTGCTGACATCGGTAGCGAGTGATATCTAAACCCGGTGCTGGGCGGTCCCCCCCCCCCACCTGCAGGAACCGCGTGTCGCCATTCCACGTGGTGAAGTATGGCACAACAACCCCGGGGTTGAGGCACGTGGTCAGTCAAGGGCGATAGGGTGGTGGGGGGAAGGACGCAGAGGAGAGCGAGCACGTGGTAGTCGGTTACGAGCATTCCCCACGGTTCTCACTTCCACGCTGCAGAGCCCTCGTTAGCTGGTTGATGGGAAGCAGCCTACTCGTACCCCCCCCCCCCCCCATCCCCATGGGGTCCGTGGCGTAGCGGCTGCTGTCCCCCAGCCCTGCTCGCTACGCCTCGATGCACCACTGCTCACCTGACCGCACCGCAGGGACACAGCCCCGGGCTTGCCATTAAAATGACATTGGGTCATATTTTCCATCGTGGCTGTGTACATATATATACACACACACGGTATACAAAGACAAAGATTCCCCGTACAACCTTTAACACACTGGAGGGGCAAGTGCTGTTAGCACACGAGCGGAGCTCACCGGAGCGTTCCCTCCTCCGCTCGCCACTCCCTCCTTGCTCCTCGACCTCTGGCTGTCATCATGACTCGCAATGGGTGCTTTGCCTGCGCGCTTGATCGAGTAATCAATTGCTTCCTGCACCGGTGCCTTTTGCCAAATGCCTTCACGCTGAGCAGAGTGGAAATCAATTGGGGGATGATGCGGCACGAGGCGATACATTGGCGGAGTACACAAATCGATGCTGTTGTTGTTGCAAACGTTTGTCGCCATCGTTGGCGTGGTCCGCATCGCAGCCGGAAGCTTTCCATCGGGGGGGGGGGGGGGCGGTGGGGGGAGCCTCACGGACACCGGCGTGGCTCCTTTTCAATGGAGGCTTTGGTCGCAGCGGCCAAACGGGTCGAGAGAACGTGGACAGCCAATTGCGTAACGGGAACACCGTAGCAGCAAGGTGCCACGAAAAGAGCCGCTCAAGAATGAATTCAGGTCAAAAGCACTGGGGGCGGGAGAACAGTTGCACGCAAATCCGAGAGACACGAAGAGCGATCCAAAACGGGGGGGGGGGGGGGGGGGTGGTGGACCGGCGTGGGCCCGAAATTCGCTCTCAAAGTTTCCATCGAATGGATCCAGCTGACCTGCGGAGGAACGTTGAAAAAGCAAACAGATGTTGGACGTTGAACGGGACGCAAAGGTTGCTTCCAGTTTTGCAAATTGACGCGCGCCAGATGCAGAACTCTCCCAGCTGTGGTCGCGTGGGTCGCCCCGTACCCGGCGTACCCGTCAGGACGGAACCTTGAAGGTCGCCGCGTCTGCTGCGCTTCGGCTCTGGCGGTCTGGGAGCGCGGGTAGAAGGCGAGTTGTGGTGACCGCTGTGGCTCCCTGATCTGGTGCAAAATAATAATGACGAATACATGGCCATTATTTCTCGAGCAAAGCCTTGCTGGGTCTAAAATACGGAGTCTACAATTCAGGAGGGCCCTGCACTTGGACGTTTGGCCTTTTCCGTGCATGGATGATCCAACATCCATAATGAAGGCAGTGCTTATCACCCATTTACAGCCCTGAGCCAGCGGTGGAAATTCCACATTCTTACGACGGGGGACGAGTGTATCCATCAGACAATCACTGTTGACTTCCCCGCAAATGTGGTGTAAGTTTTATCGACCCCAAAATGATGGGCTGGGTCAACCCCCAACCAAGATATGGCCTCACAATTCAAGGATTGCGAGCCGCTCGCTCTACCGCCGAGTCACCGTTACTGTGGCGCATTCCCTCAATCGCTCCTCACTTCGCCCCCCCCCCCCACCCTCTCTTACGAACCCCCCACACCACCCCCCCCTCGACCACCCCCCGCTCCGCGCAGGCTCGGCGATGTTCATGGAGCAGACGGAGGACTCGGACAGCCAGATCGTGTTCACGCACCGCATCAGCATCCCGCGCAAGGCGTGCGGCTGCCGCGGTGACCACGCCGTCGACCACGACGGCGACTCGCCGCTGCTGCGCCAGCTGCTGAGCCGTATCGAGCTGCTCGAGCACCAGGTGTCCGCGCTGCGCCAGCAGTGCACCGCCAACGGCAACAGCAACGGCTACGGCTGCTGCGGGGGCGGTGCAGGCGGTGCCGGAGCCTCGGCGGCCGCCGCAGGTAGCGGACGACGGCGACGCGAGCGGAGGGACAGGACGGGGAACAATTTCGATCGGGGGGGGGGAGGGAGGGGTGGGGGCCGTTTTGCAAAAACCCGGCGCGCCGCATCCAGTCCACCGCTCGCCGCGGGTGAGGTTTGTCACTGGTTGTGGATCGCGTGCCACTTGCTCCAGACCTACCGGCAGCGCCGGGAAAGATGTTCAGTGAGAAACTGAGCCCTTCAGACAGAAGGTGGATGGATGCTCTGGGACGCCAGATCTAGGGTCTCTTAGGTCCAGGGGTTGAATACTTTCCGATACCTCTCCCTTGTCGTCTCACCCTGCTGCCCGCCACACTCTCTCATATCTCTCAACTCTCATCTAGAGGTGTCAGACTAGGCACCGTACAGGCGGCGTAGACCATGCCCCATCGATGCTGCCATTGTCTCTTACTGGTGCTAAGGATTTGAACTTGTACCAGATACTAATTCGAGGTCTAGGATCTGATATTGATAACACGGGAAGACATATAACCAGGATTGTGTTGCAATGAACTACTTGGTCGTACAGATGTATCCGAGTTGAGTCACTACACGTACACACAAAGGTGCGGTTCCCACATATAGCCCAAACAGACTGTTGGGGCACCTATGAAGGCCGGCACGGTACACGAGGGGGTGGGTGGCCAGCACCACACCCAGCATCCCCAGTGGCGATGTTAACACACCGCACCAGGTACTCATTTGAGACCGAGTCGACCTAGGGGAGGCCCAGAATTGATTCAGATTATTGTCACAGGTGTTGGAGCAGAAATCAAACTCGGGTCGCCGGGTTCGTATCGCAGCACGCTTACCATTGCACGACCGCTCCCCACATAGATACACACACCCACACAAATACAGACGCACACACAAACTCACACACACACACAGGAGCGCGCACACACACACACACACGTATAGAGGAGTATAAACACCGAACACCCACAGTGACCTGGCGAGGGCTTCGTCTGGAGAGGAGGGGACTGATGCTCTGCCAGGCGTCCTTCTCGGGTTGCATTCCCTCGGCGAAACGCAGCAGCTCCCCGGGGTGACGGACATGGTCGACGCACTCCAGATCGCCGCTTTTGATTTCGCACCGGTCGTGCGCGAGAGTGGGCCGATGACAGCGCCCCCAGGAATGCAACTCCTGGGTCCCGTTGTGCCCGCCGCTGGAGCTCGGTGATGAGCCCGCGTGATCCGCGTGTGTCGTTCCAATACAAGTCTGCTCCGGTGGTGCTCGGGGGGAGTCTGAGCGCAAGTCATGGCTCAACTTTAGGTGCGTGTGTGTGTGTGTTTGTGTATGGTGGTGGTTATTGGAGGGGGTTATAGTAGTAGTTGTTACCAGCTCTATTCACTTTGCAGGTCATGACACAACTTGTGCGTACGTGTGTATGTTTGATGAGCATCAGTCAGTAAACCTATGGAACATGGGTCTGCCCTGTGACCTCCTTCCCGCGGGCGTTCGACACTTCACGTGGCCTTAGTGCACATAGACTGGCACAAGCGCCATGATGAAGTCACCGCCAGTTCGTGGTGAAAGGCGGTTGTTGTTGTTGTTGTGTAATCAGCAGTATCGTGGTGGTTATTGGAGCGGGTATACGAGTAGTTAGCGCATTGCGCTACAAACCCGGCGACCCGAGTTCGAGTCCCATTCACGACCAATAACAGTGGCGGACATTTGAGACCTAGAAAACTATATTTTATTGATATTTAGCAGAGAAAATACATTGAATGATTAATGTCGGGCCATATAAAAAAATGTACATTTCTGGACCGCCCCTCCCTCTGGGAAGTTTCTAGATCTGCCTCTGTCAGCAACCAATGATTAAACAAAATTAACCCCAACAACAACAGCAACAACATCGACAACACCGAGAACACCACCACTACCACCACCACCAACAACACTTACCCCTAACGGTTCTCCCCAACGTCCCCCCCCCTACCGACCGTCGCCGCCGCAGGCAACGTGGACTACCTTCCTCCGTGCAGCGGCCACGGCAACTTCAGCCTGGAGACGTGCGGCTGCTCGTGCGACGACGGCTGGGGCGGCGCCAACTGCTCCGAGCCGCTGTGCCTCCCGGCCTCCTGCGGCGACCGCGGCCGCTGCGTGGACGGCGAGTGCCTCTGCCCCGACGGCCACGAGGGCGACGCGTGCCGGCTCGCCGGCGCCCGCTGCCCCGACGACTGCGGCGACCAGGGCCGCTGCGTGGACGGCGAGTGCCGCTGCTTCGAGGGCTTCGAGGGCGACGCGTGCCAGAACTCCGCGTGCCCCGACGGCTGCAACGACCAGGGCCGCTGCGTCGGAGGGGAGTGCCGCTGCTACGAGGGCTTCTCGGGCGAGCGGTGCGACGTGGCCGACGGCCGGGAGGAGCCGGAGGAGCCGGAGGAAGAGGAGAGGGAGAAGCGGAAGAAGGATGAGGAAAAAGAGGAGGAAGAAGAGGAGGTCGTGGTGCGGGAGACGGATAGGCAGATCTTGGGAAGCGTGCTGTGCACCAGAAATTGCAGCGGCCTGGGCGCGTGCGTCGGCGGCGCGTGCGTCTGCAACGAGGGCATCCTGGGGGAGGACTGCTCCGAAGGTGAGAGCCACGGTGGGGGAGGTGCGCGGGTTTGGGAGCTTGGTCGACCCCGTGGGGGCGGGAGGCAGGGTAAAGGATGTGTGGCGTAGCTGTTGCAGGGACTTTTTTCAGTGATCTTTCATAACGGTTGTTATTATTATTATTATCATATTCTTGGGTCTTTCAGTAAAGTCACATAGATAGGTTCAAAGAAAATAACAAAAAACTACGACGTTTCGATCACAACACAAGCAATTGTCATCAGGAGAAAACATAGCGGGAGAGCTGCTGAGGCAGGCTGTTTTAAAGGTTTGAAATGGGTGTAGCCCAAAGGTCATAAGTGAAGTGGGCGGGGCTAGTGATGTTAAAGTGAGAAATTTGCATGTCAATGTAAGATCTCAGAGCCACCGCCACATCGAGGAAAACGCGCAACGGTGGCTGTGTTAGTGAGACATTTATCCTGTTAATGTAAAGACATTTGACCTGTTAATGTAAAACCAGAGAGTCGAAAATAACTACTAACATCGGGAGGTAGGATAGAAACATCACAGCCAGTTATGACTTAAACTGGTTAATAACGTCGTTCCATTGATTGCTCAGTTTGTACCGTTCTTCTTGGTTGAAATTGTCTGTGTCTATTATCATCATCATTATCATCAACGGGCTTTATCTGTCTGCTGCTGCATGAAGGCCTCTCTAAGCTTTCGCCATTCCCATTACTATGGCAGGGGTGAGTGTATCAATTGAGTGGTTACTTATTTTATCGACCCCAAAGGTATTCTGGGATGAGTGAAATCCAAACCAAGACTTGAACTCGCAAACATTTCGATGGCGAGCTGCTCATTGCAACATCTTATCACTGATAATCTTATCATTGAACATATACAGTAAACACTGAACATGTTATCACTGAACATCTGACCACTGAACATGTTATCCCACCAGGCCAGCTCGTTTAGAGCCTCGTGAATAAGGCGTACCACATCAAACTTGATTCACTCAGTCACCGTGCAACCAGCGTAGTTCACATTGAACGGTGAATCAGGAAAGGCACGCCGTGGCGAGGGGGAGTGCGTCACAAGAGACCTGGAGATCGGGGGACATTGTTCTTAACACGTGTCGCCTATCGAGCGTGACGGTAATTCTCGACCGAGGCTCCTTGGAACCACAGTGAGGCATTCGCTCGCTAAGCATCGCGAGTTGAGCGCTCGTTCTCAAACGCAAAACCACGCAATCCGTCAGCAGGTCACAAACCCGCTGCTTCGTCACGCAACGTACGGCAGGAGTTTGATTAGTAGCAAGTCCCATTATGTATTTACGTTTATAGTGGGGTTTTTTGTTGTTATTGCGAGAATCATCTGTTATCGTTGCAGCCACCTGGGATGAGCGGCAGTGGCTTTGATTGCCGAACGCGGCGACGGGAGTCCATCGTCTAACGATGACGATTTCCACTCCCCCCCCTTGCTCCCCCCATGCCCCCCCCCATCCCACGTTGTGTGCTTGCAATTTTGCGAGCCAAGCGTAAGATGAAAGCCGTCTTGTACTTTTGCCAATAGATATTTTTGTACAGCTAAATAATCACTTGTCCCCGAGGTAGGCTGCTGAAGGGGCAGTTTGCTGGTTTCGGCAGCATTCCGCTATTGTGAGCCGACCTCCCTCTCACTTTGTTTTGTCTGTTACGATGGGGGGGGGGGGGGGGGTTGGGGTTTTTTTTGTCCTGCTGCTTCTAATCCTTGAAGGATATTTTTTTTTTACGTGCACAATCAGGATAATTTACTGTTATAGAACACTGGGCCATAATGTGCCTCATTGATGGGTCCCGCCAGCGATTACGTAGTGGCACCCTCCCCCCCCCCCCCCGCCAAAAAAAAGAAAGAACTATATCTGGCAGAGTTACTCGAACAGCAAGGAGCCACGCCGCCGGCTTCACACACCACCAGTAGAATCATAATCAGAATTTAGACTGGAGGAGGAATCCGATGAGCTGTGAAGCTCTTTTTCACAGAAGTCCGGTAAGGGCCACGGGGTCAGCAGAGCCCTACGAGCGAGATTATCTCAAGTTCGGAAACGACGTTCACTCATCCTCCCTCCTCCTTCCGGGGTTGCTGCTGTTGGTGTAAACGGTCAGCGAGCTGGAGGTCACCGGTCCGATTCGACCTCCCCCTATCCACCGCCTCTGCCAAATGGGTTCCACCGCAGTTGGCCGACCCAAGGTCACACGCCGTGGGGTCAAGCCGTGGGTGTTTGCCACCTCTTCCGAGATGTATTCCCGCCTCCTCCGAGCGTGGAAGAGTAGGCCAAATAAGCCGCTCGGGGGGGGGGGAGGGCTCTCTTTCGAGCGCCCTCTATGGGAGGCGGTCCTCCCACCAAAAGTCGCCACCGCGGGTGCCCTTGTTCGCGACTGGCGCACACCACCCGGCGTCGCCGTGGAAGCGCGACTCCTCGGGCAGGAGGCGCGCGATTGGCCCGCGGTTTGGCTGGGAGCGGTGCGTGCCGGTTTGCCAAGAATCTTCTGGGGTCGCCAGCCACCTCCCCCCCCCCCCCCGCCCGGGGAAACTGAGCGGTCTAATTAAAGGCACGCGTCTCGCTGGGGACGCGGGACGCGTAGGAATTTCTCGACCCATCGCCTTAATTGCGAGTCGCGTCGTGGCGTCCGATCCGCCGGCGATGAGCGATGGGGTCGGTGCACGCGTGGCATGGCGAGCAATTTTTTATTTTTTAATTTTTTACAGAAAACCTGCGCGGTGTTCGTGCGGCGGGCCCGGCCCGGCGGACCGGACGCGGTGGTGGGGGGTGGCGGGTGGTTGGGGGGGGAAGTTGCGACCTCTCAAACGGCACGCACTCTCGGGCGCCGCCAGGGAACGTTCCACTTGTGCCCCCCCCCCCCCCCCCGTGCCCCTCCGGTAATGGCGCGCACCTGCACCGCTCGCCGAGCCGGCAACTTCGCGGGGGACTCCACGCTGCTGAGTTGCGCCGGCTCTGCCGTGGCGGGGGGGGGGGGGAGTGGGGGGGGCGATCCTCGGCCCAGAAGGTCGTAGCCCCAGGCGCGTTCCATTGTCAGACTTTTCCGATGTTCAATTTGGTGGTGGTGGTGGCGGCCCCTTCTATTCGGAACGGGGAGTATGGTGAGGAGTGTGGTGTGGGTACGGTCACTTAGTCTGAATGCCCGGCCAGGCGGTTCCGTTATTATGGGTTTCATCGCCATGCAACAAACACTTTTGAAGGGAAATGATACTGACAGCACAGCTGGAGTATAAGTGGGGGACATAAACTAATAATGTCAATAAATGAATGCACATACACACACAGTGTCCCTGTTTCGCTTGTTCTCCTGGATTCAGACTCATCTTACAACAAAAAGAGTCCTGACCACTGCTTCCTTTCCTCGCTGAGATGGGCACAAAGAAGCATGGAGGAGAGAGGCTTGAGCTGATCTAGCAGAGAGGTGATATTTAGATGAGAGAGGAGGGATTCAGGGCAAGGGGTGGCCACACAGATTTCCAGGTGGAGGCTTCGGCAGTTTTAGATGTCTCCTATGTATGTATGTATGTTGATCGTCTTTCGCACCAAACTAAACACTAAAAAACAATTCTAAAGAAACGAGTCTTCAATCTAGATTTAAAAGTGCAGAGCTGCAGTGGCTTCCTCATATCGGAATAAAGAGCGTTCCAGACGGCCGCTGAAGTGCGTATCGACGATGATGATGATGATGATGGCGATGACAACGATGATAATAATTGTGACGACAATGACTACGACCTCACTCTCTCCCTCTTTGTCTGGCCGTCCCCTCCCCCCCCCCCCCCCCCCCCCCACCGGGCAGTGCCCCCGCCGCGGAACGTGACGGTGACGGGCGTGACGGACCGCACGGTGGACCTGGCGTGGGCCCACGACCTCGTGGTGACCGAGTACGTGCTGCGCTACTCGCCCGTCGCCCCCGGCGGCCTCGTGCTGGAGGTTCGCGCGACGGGCGACAGCAGCAACGCGACGCTGCGCGAGCTGGAGCCCGGCGTCGAGTACCTGGTGACCGTGCAGGCGGTGCTCAACGGCCTCCTCAGCGTGCCCGTGTCGGCACGCGTGCACACGCGTAAGTGAACTCGGCTAAAAACAACCGAACCCTTATTTTATTTTTAACCTGGTAGGGGCCCAATAAGCTACGTAGCTCTTTTTGCATGAGCGACCCGGCTGCCACAAATGACGGCTCAACGAAGTGGCTTATCATCATGTTGTAGATTAATAGCGGCCAAATGCTCAAAACGCGTGACGTTGATTCTAAATGTGGAAGGAAAACCCGGAGGAGCCGGAGAAAACTCCACGCGACCAAGGGCAGAGAGAGACACGCAAAACTCCAAATACACAGCAGGCGTCAGGGTCGGGATCGAACCCACGACCTCCTGCACGTCATTGGGAGACAACTGCGACCTCATTGTCCATTCTCATTCCCAATGTGTTTTGCGTGCGTGTTCATCTGCACCCTTTTCTACGATCGTCACACGCAACAACAACAAACAACAACAAAATCCATTCTTCAAAACTCCCCCCCCCCCCCCACTTTATCTCTCTCGCCACTGCAACAGACGCAATCGTTTTCGCGCTGCGAAGTGCGATGATTGACGCTAACCGGCTTGGAAACAGGGCAAGGGGTTTTGTTTTTGTTGTGGAGGTACGCAGGGGGTGTGTGTGGGGGAGTAGGGCGGGCGGGGCGTGTGGGGGGTGGGGGGGTTAAAATTCGGGAAGCGAATGTCGTTAACCGCGCTTGCCAAAAGCCTCGCTTGAGTAGCCAGCGACGTGCGGGGGGAATCGTGACCCCTCGAACTCCGGAGTGTTTCATTACGATCCCGCCCGCCGTTTAAGAAAAGTGTCACAAGTAGAGCCATATGCCTGCGGGTCGCGGGGTCGAGTCGCGTTGGGAGTCGGTCGGTGGGGTGGGTGGGTGGGTGAGGGGCGTTTGTTCTCGTTAAGAAACGAAGAGAAGGAAAATTGTTCTCTTGAGTCCTGCGCTGAGGCCTTGCAGGCTATTTTCTGTTGAGGCAGCACCGGGCGGCTTAGGGCCCTGATTGTGAGGGCATTGTAACAACACTGGCCATCGCAGGGCTCTGCGGAGGCCGATCTAGGAACCTCCCAAGGGGCAATGGATTGGTGGGGGGGCAGTGATCTCGAAATGTCAAGCATTCTAAATGGGGCCCTACATTAATGTAAACACATTCAATGTTTTATTTTATATCTTTTCAAGGCCACGGATGTGTTTCTCTGCTCGTGCGCCACTGCTCGACGCAGTGTCACCAAAGCAATTTGTTTTCTCAGAGTCTATAGGCTTAGTTCGGGCTTTTCTGGGTAACGCAAAAACAAAGACATTATTATTATTATCCTTTATGTGGTATTAGCGTCCTCATGTGACTGCAGTGCAGGCTGGTAGTGATAATCCTGGGCTTTACAGACTCCGTCTCCTGTGAGCAGTGGGACAAAGCTTACATTACAATGTTCATACAATTGGATTAATATAGTGCCTGAACTCGCCCAACGGGAGGAGCCGTGGCACGGTCGTAGTTAGTGCACCACAACTGCTGCGACATGAGTTTGCTTCCCAGACGTGGCTAACGTGAAGTGATGTCTGAACCCTGTCCTGGTCACCCCCTTCACCAGCGTTCCGTGACCAATGTGGTGAAGTATGGTTAAAGCAGCCTCCATGACCAGGGATCGGCAACCTGCGGCTCCGTAACTTCGCGACATTATTTATCCCAGGACCACCGTCTCGTATTCACCACAGTGCGTTGCGACTCTTTAAATATTGAGGGTTTTTTTTTTCCTTCGAATTCTAACAAAAAGGTTCTCCTTGTTATTTTCGTTGCCCATGACCGACACGGTGCGGTGAGGCCCTCATCCGTCAGCGGATTGCCAAAGTGGCTGTAAACACGCAGCCGTATCATCGCACGACGCTGTACAAACAATCGGCGTCATACACATACACAAATACAAAGGTTCCCCGTGTAGCTTGCATGGGCTCTTTGGGGCAAGTGCCGTTAGCAAGCACCAATGAAGGCCGCCTTTGTTTCACCAGTGGCAATGTACACACACCTGCGCTAGTCGACCTAGGGGAGGTCCAGTACCGGTTCAGATAATCACCACGAGCGGGAATCGAACTCAAGTGGCCGGGTTTGTTGTGCATCCCGCTACTCACTGAAGTAACACTCTCTACAGCAACACAGCATAATCGCAGCATCATCGCAGAACACGGGGATAAAGACGACAATTTTTTTGGAGAGGTGGAGGGGGGGTCTCATCAGCAGTATCAGCCTTATTTTGAAAAGTTCTTTTGAGGTAAATAGTTTCCAGACAGAGCCTGGAGATACGATCTCAAACAAAGTTGTTAACTTAATGTACGAGGTTAAAACAAACACGTATATATAGTTTTTTTTTTTTTGCGGAAGGTACAGCGGACCACATAACTGCACCGTTACGCGCCGCATGCATTTGCCCGCTGTGGAATCGCGGCGGCCGTGGCTTCGTGGAGGCTTTGACCCAGGCGGGAAAAAAAATACACAGAACTAATCCGACACGGGCAGCGTGCGTGGACCCCCCCCCCCCCCCCACCAATCGGTCTCGTAATAAATATCCCCTTCCTACAGTCATCAAAGGCAAGTCTAGCTTATTATGCCTCGATGAAAAAATATAATCGGAGGTTAAAATTAATCGCGTAAGGCTGCTGCTTTTTCTCTCTCTCTCTCCGGATTTGGATGCAGAGAGGTCTGAGAAGGGTTGGGCAGTGTGGGTTTAACCGTCGGATGCAGATCTCAAATTTCCCACCAATTCCCCACCCTCGGCCCCCCACAAAAGACCCTGTCAGCCGTGACGAGACTCGCATGCACACGCACGGGGACGGTGTTACATTTTGTAAGTGGACAAAGTGGTGAAAATATCCGTCGGAAAGTTTTTGTTTATTTTCTTGGTATCAAATCGTAACGATGACTGCGACCACCGTCCACCAAAATACCGCGGTGCGACGGACCTTGACGACACGAAGCTAACGAGTGAAGGCGCAGGCCGAGAACGGCTTAGTAGCGTTACTAGGGGCCGCGGTGCCCCGCGGAACACCACTCGTGGCAATTGGCCGTATAAGTCGATAGAGAGTAGAGTCTATAGAATTGATGACGTTGCTGATATCCTGACCCGATAGTTAACGATGGGGGGAATTGAAAAAGCTCCTCGCACTTACATTTGTACGTACGTTGAACTTCTTTCGCACCGTACGTAGCCAACCGCGCTCACCGGAGGTGCGTGGGGAAGGACAACAAACTAAAGGACAAGAAGCAGCTCTAAAGAAGCGTAGCTACTAAGTGGGCTACATTTTGACCGCTTTAGTCAACTAGGCTTGAGAGAGTGACGAAATGAAATCCACAGAGTTGGACTAAAATATGTCTGCCGTTGTCCTCGACTGGACTGAGACTAACCTCACAGTGGGTCTCGCTCGCTCGCCAAGCCCACAGGGGTCGTCTGGAGGTTTTTGGGTCTCTGCGCTGGATCATTAATGGGGGGGGGGGGGCGCAGCGTTGTTGGCATGAGTACCTCTCAGCTAGACATTAATTTCGACGTTGAATCAGCATTATAAGTTAAAGAAAGCGAAATGTGTGCCTGTTACATAACAACTAATAAGCAGCAAATGCATTGCTCCCTCTGGGCCTTGTCCCTGTTGTCCCGTGCAGCTGGCTCGTGCCCGTTCGTTACCCGCCGTTTGTGGCCAGGTGGCGTGGAGGTTCGAGAGCCGAGCTGGCCTCGGAGAGAGCCTCAGTTCGAATCGCAGGCATCTGCCTGCGATTCGAAACGGGCTTCGAGAGCCGAGCGAGTTTATGGCTTCAGCCTGGTCACCAATGGCTGCACAATAAACAAATCGCAATTAAATGTGGTTATGGGCATAATTTGGCCAAACGTCAGCTATCAGAATGAAATAAAATTACGGGGGGGGGGGGTAGGGTTGGGTCGGCTGTCACGTGACAAATATTTACTCTGCAGCAGTGTGGGGCGGGAAGTGCTGACCTCTACCGTGTGGATCAGAGGTCACGCAAAGTGACCTCGGGAAACGGTTCTGAGAGATCCCCTTCCGCGAGCCGTTGCACTGCTATGGGAGAGTAATGAAATGATTCTTCATCTTGCGTAATGACTCTGACAGCACAAAGAGGATAATATTTAGGGGGTGGTGGGGGGAAGACAACAGAGAAAATGTACACACAGCGAACACGATTTAAACTAAACTATTTTTTTATTTTACCAGGAAAGGCCCCCTGAGCTATATAGCTCTTTTTCAGAAGCGACCTGGCCACGACTGATAGCTCAACAAAGTGGCTTATCGTATGGAAATGTAAACTGGCAAAATACTCTCAATGCATGTTTCTAAATGTGGAGTGGAAAACCAGAGGACCCGGAGAAGGTGGTTGCATTCGTATATAAGGCCCTTTAGAACCTGACAAAACCCCAAACTATTGCCAGTTCATTATGGCGACCCGACTCAAATGAATCACGATTCGTAACGTTGCCTGTGTGAACCCAACTGTTAAAGTAAGACCCGTTTCACTTTCGTTGAGCACGTTTATACACGGTGCCTGCGTTAGACTTAAAGCAAATGGTCGTGCATCGCAGGGGACTACCGCAACCGCACGGAGAAAGCGGGAGCGAGAGCGGGAGAGAGATGAACCCCATCACGTCGCTCCCACTCCCCACGCGACGTGACCTCTCCCTGTGCCCCCCCCCCCCCACCCCGCCCTCCCCGTGCGTTGCCACAGATCTGTCGAAGCCCGAGGGGCTGAGGTTCAAGTCCATTGACGAGACGGAGGTGGAGGTCGTGTGGGAGCCCTTCTCCGTCGCGCTTGACGGCTGGCAGATTACGTTCCACCACGGGGTAACCGCGGCCGTCGGTCGCTGCGCGTGACCCCTCGTACACGTTCCACCTGTCACGCAAATGCACAACCGTCCCTCCGCATTCCACGTAAAGCTCGATGCGTTTCAAAATATTGATTGCGTGTGGTGTAAAACATATATATCATGGGCCCGTCATCGATAGTAATAATAATAATAATATTTATAGAGATCTTCACGTGTAGAAATTAAAACTTTTAGTCGAGAAAATATCTCGGGTTTAATCGGACCGCACCTTTGCATTAAAAATTTCGCAAGGGACGGAAGACTGACCATGAAGGAAAACCAACGTCTCCCCCACGGGCGTCTCTCTCTTGCTCCCGCTCCCACGCGGGCGTGCAGGCGGCGGACGTGGTGACGGACCTGCACGGTGGCGCGACGTCGCACTTGCAGAGCGGCCTGCTGCCCGGCGAGGAGTACGAGGTGCGGCTGGTGGCCGTGCTGGATGGCGCGCACGGTCCTCCCGCCGTCGCCACCCTCGCCACGCGTGAGTGCTGCCATCCAACCGCCCCCCCCCCCCTGCCACCCTCGCCGCCCACTCACGGTCGCGTTCGCAAAACGATCACGGGGAAAGTGTTGGGGGGTTTCGCTGAAATCCTGACACCCCGCGCGGCGATCCGCTCCGGGCGGCAGCGCGTGATGCGCGGTGGGTCGGAGGCGTAGCGGTCTGCTCTCATGATCATCGCGCGCACAAACTTGATGGAAACATTTACATGTTTTGCCGCCAAGGCAAAGCCACGAGCCGTTGCGCTCCCGCGCACGTGTTTGGCCGTAGCGCCCGTGTGTGTGTGTGTGTGCGAGACTGTCTGTGCGTGCACCAGTGACGATTATCTGAATCGCCACGAGGGGAGAAAAAATGCGGCCGGGCATGGTGCCGGCCACCCACGTGGTGCTGGCCTTCGTAGGTGTTGCTACTCGCTGACGGCACTTGCCCCAACAGTCTGCAAAGACTGCACGGGGGGAATCTTTGTCTTGTTGTGCGGCGCCGCACGGACTGACCGCGGCAAGCGCTCGTGCCGCAAAACCTAGTCTAGGAAACTCCGCGCTACGGGCCAGCCCCCCATTACTATGTAACCCACACACACGCCCGTGTACGTGTGTGTGGGGAGCGGTGGCGCAGTGATCAGCACACCGCGCTACGAAACCAGGAATCCGGGTTTTTCGATTCCCACTCGTCGTCTACATGGGTGGGGGAATATCCGAAGCGGTTCTAGGGCCCATGGCCTTAGGTACCTGGTGCGGTGTGAAGTAAACATCCGCAATGGGGATTCAGAAGCGGTCGGGCGTGGTGCTGCCCACCCTCCTCGGTGTCGACAGGTGCTCGCGAACAGCACTTGCCCCAATGGCCCATTAGAGGCCACGTGAGGATCATTGTCTCTATGCGCGTGCGAGCTCCCGCACACGCACGGAGTAGAGTCGCGCATAACGTACGAGCTGTGCCTGCACCGTCGGAATGTACCCCTCTCTCTGCCCAAAAACGTCAGCCCACCTTATATTTTCCTGTTACTGACGGAAGTTTATTTTATTTTCGTGAACAACTACAACGGTGGCCTTTTTGCCACTGAGCTGCGATGACGTCACCGCGGCGCTTGTGCCAGGCTCGGTGCACTTTGAGGCCACATGAGGTGTCGAAGGCTCACTGACAGGCGGTCGCAGAACAGACCCAGGTTGCCATGGGGTGACTGACTGAGATGACCAGTGGATGCACCACCTGTGCTCTCCACTGCGCCAACTTGCTGCGTTTTAGCCGCCCGGCTATCCCCTTGCTGTTGTGAGCGTCGCTTCTCCGCCCTCCATCGTTGCTGGAGGGCAACCGCCTCCAACTGCCCAGTGGCGTCCTTTGCTAGCCTCCTTCACAGACGCCGATCTGTAAACTGTCGGTAGCAGTCATCGACAGGTCCAATCAGCTCTGAATCCTTCCCTTCCGCATCAGAACCATTTCCTCCTTTGCCCGTGCCGCAATCATTTATCCCCTTCTTTCCAGCCACACTAAGGACAGAGACAAAGATCCCCCATATAGCTTTGACAGACTGTAGGGGCAAGTGCTGATGGCGAGCACCTATGAAGGCCAGAACGATCCACAAGAGGATGGGTGGCCAGCACCATGCTTGACCACCCTTGTCTCCCCAGTGGCGATGTTTACACACCGCACCGGGTACTCATTTGAGGCTGAGTCGACCTAGAGGAGGCCCAGGGCCGGTTCAGATCATCGTCTCTGATGTTGGCCATGAGCGGGAGTCGAACTCGGACCGCCGGGTTTATAGCGCGGCGCGCTAACCACTACACTGCTGCTTCCCTCTCTTTGTCCGGCCGCAAACGCGCGCGCACGCGTGGCAAACGGTGCCACGTATGTGATCGCCCATCCAAGCGCCGTCCAGGTTCAAACGCCGCTTAGCTTCGGCCGCATTCCGGGTGATTATCCCGTGGGCGAGGGCACCTTAAATGGGCGCATTTGAGAGCTGCACTCTCCGGCTGCGTTGGAAAAACAACGTTTGCCATCAAAGCTCGTTTTTTGGGATTTGCTACAAATCGCCAAATTACAAGATTGCCCCTCGTTAACCACTGCAACAGGCACGGACGCCACCGTGTTCAGCTGCTGCTGCGTACGTACGTATGTTGTACGTATGTTTGTACGTACGTTGCACTTCTTTCACACCGTATGTAGCCAACCGCGCTAATCGGAGGTGCAGGGGGAAGGATGACAAACTAAACACAAAAAATGCATTCCAAAGAAATTCGTTTTCAATATCTAGATTTAAAAGTGCGCAGCTCCAGCAGCTTCCTAAACACCGGACATTCGTATTACCGATATTACATATAAAGTTCATGATGTCGTCACGGCCAAAGCTGCTGACGCCACCGCCCCTCATTGCCAACTCTTCATGCCCTCCGCCAGATCCCGCACCTGCAGCACCGTGGCGACGTGACCTCCAACATATGCCCGAACAGTGTCCAACCAACATCTGCTCTCAAGCCCCCCTTTTTCTTCCCGCTGATCCGCCACACTCGAGGAGGCCGCTCCTTTTCCCCCGTCTCGGCAGTAAACCGCCGCTGCTGCGCGCACGCACGCACGCGTTTGTCCGAACCCAGCGCAGGACAGCGCGCTTACCCAGCCCCGTGTTCACGACAGCACTTGGCGGTGCGAAAGAAGAAGCCGCGAAATTCCCAGCAGCCGTCTCCGGCGCCCGTGCTCAAATGCCGTTGACTTCCATTGCAGCTTGCGTATACTTAGGGTCCGGCACTGGTTCGTACAGTGACACGGGTAGCACTCCCGGCTCGAACGCCTCTGTTTATTTACCCTCAGACTTTACCTCTCGTCTCTCCCCCTTCCAGAGTGGTTTCCGGAGCCCTTTATTGCGGCCACAAGGAGGCCCATTTGATCCCAGCGGCCGAGAGCGTGGTCACGACGACACGGGCTTCAAGCCTTGGGCACGTTGCGGTTTGCCAAAATTTTAATCAGCGTGCCGCGCGGTCAGCGCTGCCTTATTTGTCAAGGGTAATCGCGGGCCGACGTCATTGGCGGCTGAATTTTCCACTTAGCTTTGTTTTTTATTTTTACTTCAGAAAACGAGGGTCGGGGGTTGCATGGAGTGCGGCTGTGGGTGGGGGGTGGGGACAAAGTGGGGGGCGGATCAAGGGCCTGTGCCCTCCGAGACTTCCGACCTCAACTGCTCACGTCAATCCCAGATCTCGCGCTCGAGCCCGGCCTTGCCAGGCCCCGACTTCTCTCACGTTCACTTGGCAAACTGGCGGTGGCCCCGGGAGGAAATGCGAGTGGAAGGTAGTAGGAGGCAGAGATCGCTCCTGCGTACAGCGGAAATCGTTGAACCGGGGCAAGGGGGAACCGACTCCTCCACCTTGGCCGGATGAGTGGCAGGAGTTGGGGGGGGGGCTGACCCCCCCCCCCCATGTTGCCGTCGCTCTGTGACTTCAAACGTTGAGGAGGCCACAAATTCCGCCTCGACTTTTTTCAGTCTTAGATGGCACGTGCGGTTGGATTCGTTAATCGAAGCAAGGCGAAGGCAAGGGTGTGGTGATTATGATGATGATGCACCCGAGCTGGGTTATCACCACAACAGTTCATCTTCTTGGTTCTTTCGGTAAAGTCACGTAGAATGGAGATAAAATAATAAAAAAGAAAACATAATAAAATAAAATAAAAATTCTCACGACGTTTCGGCCACAGCACAAGTAGCCTTCTTCAGGTGAAGAAACAGGACTGTCCAGAAGACAGCGCTAGAGTGAGCACTGCCAAGCAAGGGCCGCGTCTTTTAAGCTGTGTGGACGGAATTAACATTTGAATTGGCATGTTACCCAACCCCACCTCCGGAGGTGATGAGAGGGGGGTGCCCAAGGGCCAAAGGGGAAAGCCGGACAGCCAAGGTGCGCTGCTATGTCCTGTGCTATAAACTGGACTGCTGTGCAATGCAATATTATGCCTTCCAATCTAAACTACATGGTATAATATCATATCCATAGAAAAAATTCCACCTTTGAATTATACAATGCGTTACTGTACACTACCCTATACTTTAGACTATAAAATATTAGACTTGTAATATTACATTATGTCTTATTCTGTCAACCCTAATGTATGACACACTGCTGTATATTCACTATACAATTACGATACTATATATTGCCTTATGAATTATGTTAAACATTATGATGCTGTACTATTTATTATTATACCACATGCTATAAACCATACCATTGACCGTGGTGTGAAAGATATCAAGAGGCAGTGCCAGCGAATGGACTGCGGTCTGAAGGTCACCATAAAATACAATCAATTAAGAACCTAAATGGTTTATAACATCTTTCCAATGGTTACTAAGCCAGAATCCATCTTCTCGGTTGAAATTATCTCTGTGTTTGTATATGTGGATAGCCTCATGAACGAATCTCTCATGGTAGCCAGATGGCTTGCAAAGAACCTCTGTCTTGGAGAAGTCAATGTCATGTGAGCCCACTGAATTATAACAATGATCTGCCACGGCTGAGGAGTTAGTCCTACCGTGTTTCAGGTCTGCTTTATGTTCGTGGATGCGGTCCAAGATATGTCGTTTGGTTTCTCCAATGTAGCTGCTACCACAGAGGCAACTTAGTTTGTAAACGCCTGGTACTGTATATCTGGAACCACATCTTTTACAGACGGAACCAGATCACGGATTTTATGTACTGTGTTGAATCGGACCTGGATCTTGTGTTTATTCAGAATTTTGGAGATCATTTTTGTGACCCCAGCAATGTAGGGTAAGGTGATGGCTCCTCTAGAGGAACCTTCTTCGTGACTGGAGTGATGGCTTTGCGGATTGTGTAGTCGGAGTAACCATTAGCCTTGAGAGCTTGGTATACGTGTTTGAGTTCACTGGCAATGTGATCCTGATCGGAAATGCATTGGGCTCTATGGTATAGAGTCGGGATGAGGGAGTTCTTCTGGGATTGGTTGGTGGTGTGCATCCGGTTTTAAGTAAGCATCCGTATGGGTAGCTTTCCTGTAGACAGAGTGGCTCATTGAACCATCAGGTCTCCTTTTAATTAAGACATCCAAAAAGGGTCGCTTGCCATCTTTTTCGACCTCCATGGTAAATCTGATGGCTGGGTGTATGTAATTGATGTGGTCGAGGAATTGGTCTAGAGCAGGCAGGCCATGTGGACAGATGACAAAAGTGTCATCCACGTACCTCTTCCATACGGTTGGGCGTAGAGTGGCAGTCTGGATGGCGTCAGTTTCAAATTTTTCCATGAACACGTTGGCTACAACCGGAGATAGGGGGGAGCCCATTGGGGTGCCCTCAGTTTGTTTGTAGAAAGTTCCATTCCAGGTGAAGTATGTGTTGGTTAAGCAGTGTCTCACCAGGGGGGTACATCAGTGTGCAGTCCTTGATGAACCAAGTCTTCAATGATTGAGATGGTGTCAGGTACTGGAACTTTGGTGAATAAGGAAACCACATCAAAACTGACAAGCAGGTCGTCTGGGGACAGGGAAATGCCCTTGATTGTCGATACGAGGTGAGTAGAGTTTAGTACCGCAGAGGTGGTTTTTCCAGTAAAAGGTCGCAGGATATCAGACAGAAAACGAGCCAGTTTGTAAGTGGGGGAGTTGATAGTGGAGACGATGGGACGAAGGGGTGTATCTTCTTTATGTATCTTTGGAAGGCCATATAATCTTGGTGGTCTGGCTGCAGAAGGTTTCAACGAGAACTACTCTTTGTTTTTTTCGGTAAAGTCACGTATAAATAAGAAATAGTAAAATAACATAATAGCGTACGACGTTTCGGTTGCAACACAAGCAGCCATCATCAGTTACAGAAGAGCTAAATTTACGAGAGAGGGGAAACACATAACCTCAGATGTATATACAGACACCCAAGTAGGGGGAACTAACACAGATACAACAGGGGACACAGAGAGAGAAGCATACCAGACAAACAGGGTTTAGCAAAATTTTGGAAACCATATAAAGCAACACAGACGGTCGGTCAAAACACAATTAACGCATAGTCCGGTTGATTACGCTATTTCAAAGATTGCTAAAGTGCAAGTTAAGTATGAACTTCAAAATACAGACCGCACACACACAGACATCCAAGTAGAGCGAACCAGCACAGAGACAAGCACACAGTGAAGTCGCCTTAAATAGGCAGAGAAGGTAAGGCTGAGAGACAATGGGACAAAATCAGCATGAGGTATCATGGAGCAAAGTGGGGCGCGGCAGCACCCACTCAGAAGCAACAAGTCCCACACACAGGCAGAAACAGCACAGAGACACAAATCCAAGCCAAGACACAAAGGCAGACACACAAGCAGAGACAACACAAAGACACAGACCTCATACCTCCCCGAAGAGGTGGTTCAGACTTGATTTGAAGCTTTCGTGACTGCAGGAATTACTCTTTGTTTCGGTAAAGTCACGTAGAAATAAGAAATAATAAAATAACATAATAGCGTAATTGAGAGGATGACAATGTCATCTCTCACCAGAACAGTTCTTTAACGAAGCTGCATGGATTGTGTGGTCTCCCTTGCAGAAGCAACTGCTGCCTTAATGAGCTCTCAAACGACTAAAGTACAGTTGCAGATGTCGTTATGTATTTATTATGCATACGCATGAATGTATGTATATGTGTGGGAATGCGCACACCCATACATACATAGGGAGCAGTGGCACAGTAGTTAGTGCACTGCGCTACAAACCCAGTGACCTGAATTTGATTTCTCCTCACGACCAATAGCAGTGGACTGGTCCTGGCCTCACTGGTGTGGTGTGTAAACATCAGAAATGGGGAGACTAAGGCGGCCGGCAATGGCGTTGGCCACCCCCTCTGTGTCCTGTGCCGGCCTTCATAGGTGCTCGCTTAACAGCACTTGGCCTAACAGTCTGTTGGAGGTTATAAGGGGGATCTTTATCTTTGGCTTTGTTTGCATGTGTCGCACTGGTGGAAAAAACACCGATGATGGAGCATCTGCCATTGCATGCCAGTTGCTTTTTTGTCAATTTGTGGTGACTGTGTGTGAGAGTATGTGGGCCTCCGTGTGAGTCTCCGGGTCTCAATGTGAGGGGGGACTGCCAGCACATTCCAGTTTCTCACACGGATCCACCTGCGTGACGGGAAAACCGCGTGGCATCCCCAAACGAAGGCAGCAATCAGCCACTACCCACATTTACCCCCGCACTACCCCCGCACTACCCCCGCACTACCCACGCACTACCCACGCACTACCCACATTTACCCACGCACTACCCACGCATTACCCACATTTACCCCCGCACTACCCCCGCACTACCCACGCACTACCCACGCACTACCCCACATTTACCCCCGCCGCAAGTGACCCGGGCCAGTGAACTGACCGAAGCTTCACACCCATCTTGCCGCGGTGTTGAGAGAGGCGATGACAGACGTCAGGTAAATCATCTTTCCCACAGGTTTTCCATCTCTTTGATAGATAAATCAGGAATCTAGCCCGGCAACCGGAGGGTGAGGGGGGGAAGAGGTCATAGAAGTACAATAAACTAGAAAAAAACAAAGATGACCTCGATTCACCGCCGGCTTTCATCTTCCGCCTAAACACGAGACGAGCGGTCCCTTGAATCGCAAAGCGGCGTTCACCTCCACTCGCTCGCACCTGCGACGCCGTGAATCACCTGCGCGCCCTGGAATGCAATCACGATACGAGCCGTTGATGTCTTTTTTTCCATCATCCGATACATCAGGCGGATGATGGACCCCGGCCCGCCCGCCCGCAAACTTTTCCGTCTCTCATCAACTTTTCGGCAGCGCTCGCGTGCCGTGCAACGGCGAGCCTTCTTCAGTCACGATAACAACGGTGCCGTGACAGCGATGGGACTTTTTCAGAATTCTCCGACTTTTTCCACCCCCGCTAACTCCCACTCGCTCCAGCTTAAGAGGCGATTCAGAAGAAAAAAAACGACCTCGCGATGCGTGCAAAGCTGAAAACGAATCATAACGCGCACAAAGATGTGTCCCTTTAAAAGAAACAATACCATGAATCCCAGCATGCTTTTGCACGTCTAGACGGCGTCACCATTCCTGTGCATGTTCCACGCACATCCTTGGACCGTCCACCAGTTCGCAAGAACAAACTGGGACGCTTTTGTCGTCGTTGTTTTAAATACCAGCATGCTTTGCACGTCTCGATGCCGCCACCATTCTTGCGGACGTTCTGAACACAACTTAGCGGTGGCCATCACAAGGCTGCAAATGACAGCCGAGATTCCGACCATGTCCTAGCTGCCGAGGTCACCTTTTTTTTTATTTCGCGTACGTGTTATCACAGTCGGCTTGAGCTGTTCTACTGCTTTGTCAATGACTTGTAATGTATACTGCTCATGATACGTATGCATCTATACCAGTCTGTGCTTTAAAAAAAAGTAAATATAACTAACGGCCGTGAATTCTCTCTGTGTTCAAACTCCCACTCTTACCTGCAAACCTGAATCCCCATTTCCTGCCCTCCATTGTTCCCACTCACACCTCCACCTGCTCCGTGTCTTGCATCGGCTCCCTTGCCCCGAGCTGCTCGTGCTCGCGTTCGCTTTTGCCGCTACCCGCCTGGAAAATGATCGCGACCCCCCTCCCCCATGCTTGGTAAACAAACTTCACCGATAAACAACAAACTCCACCGGTAAATAAACTCAATTGGTAAACAAATTCCACCGGTAAATAAAACTCCACCGTGGCGCGCGCTCCCTGCCGGTCCTGATTCCCGTTTCTCCTCCGTGCTGCTGCCTCGCTCCGCGTCCATCCCAAGCGACGCTCCCCCCCACACGTGTAATCGTCGCGTCAAAATCCCCTTCCGTTGCCTCTGCGAGCCCTTTCATCTCCTCTCGCCGCATTCCACACCTGACAATCGCCGTCCATTTTGAAACCCTACCCAATTCCACGGGACCCCCTTTGTTGCGTCGATCCTCTGAATCCCACCTCAATCCTCAAAAACCATCGTGTGTCTCTCCTTCAGAGACAAAAATCCCACGCCGAACATCCCACCCTTACACATCCATCATTAATTTTCCCTTCCGATCCCAGCCGTTCCTCAATCCCCTCTCTGAAACAAAAATCCCCAAAACATTGATCCTTTCTCCACCCCAAAAATTCCACCCTTATCCAAATCTCTCCCACCGCTGGCCTCCTCCCCATTTCCAATCCTGATCCTCATCCCGATCCCGGTCCTGATCCTCACCCCCTCCCCCCCCCCCGATCCCAATTCCCGATCCTGATTTTAACCCCGCCGCTGACTCGATGCACGGACGCGTCAGCGATCGACGGCCCTCGCGCCTTCGAGGTGCGCGAGGTGACCGACTCGTACGCGCACCTGTCGTGGGAGCGGAGCCGCGCGCGCGTCACCAGCCTGCGCCTCTCGTACCGCACGACGGGCGACGCGCGACCCACCGAACTGGGCCTGCGGCCCACGGCCACCGAGTACACGCTGCAGGGCCTGCGGCCCGGCCGCCTCTACCACGCGATGCTGCGTGCGGAGCGTGGCCTCGCGCATAGCGGCGCCTTGCACGCCAGCTTCACCACAGGTCGGTGCGCGCGGACCACGGACGGACAGATACGGACGGATGGATACGGATGGACAGACTGATGGATAGACGGACAAAAGGACGGTCAGATGGGTCAACTGATGGATTGATGAACGACCGGACAGACAGATCAACCGATGGTGGACGGTAAGGACTGACCGACGCATGGACCGACGGATTGATCGACTGATGTGGCTGTTGCCGAGCATTTGATTTTTCACAAATATTTTGTGGGGAAATAAAACGTGAGAAACAATGAGCACCCTCTAGTTGACGGTTAGTGCCGCTACGATGCTGCCAGTCGTAGGCCTCACGTGGCCACGAAATGAAAAAGAACGAAGTCGCGGGGCGAATTAAACGATGTGCACGGTCTGCTACGTACGGCGCGAATGAAGTTCAACATGCATGGACACACATACAAGTCGCGGGGCGAATGAAACGGAGTTGCGGCTCGCTTATGGCTCGCGCGCCATAGGTTCCCTGCCCCGTGCTCCCGGAAATTACTTGTGACGGCACCCCCCCGGCTCCCCCCCCCGCTCTGTCCCCAGCGCTGGACGCGCCGCGGAACCTGAGGGCGAGCCACCAGGGCGAGAGCGGCGGCGGCCTGCTGCTCGAGTGGGAGAACAGCCGGGCCCAGGTGGACGGCTACCGCGTCGTGTTCGCCCCCATCGCCGGCGGCCCCCACGGAAGCGTCAACGTCACCCACCAGGGGCCCGACCTCACCTCCGCCGTCACCATCACCGGTGCGCGCCGACGCCCCGGCCCACGCGTCGTACCGGGGGGGCCTTCGTTGGCGACGCCCACAGCGTCCGCAGCGAGCGTCGACCATTTCAGGATCGACATTTGGGTCGGGGCCCCCCGTGACGATCTGGCCCAGGGGTCGGCAACCTGCGGCTCCAAAGCCGCGTGCGGGGAGCTCTTTGGCTTCCCCCCTGTGGGGCTCTTTGGCTGCCGCCCTTGCGGGCAACCGTTTAAAAAAAATAACAAAAATTATTTAACGTAAACAGAATTTATTAAACATGCAAGGGGATGGGTAACTATAGAATGTCTCGGTGACGTCAAATTGTAACAAGTAAAACTGCATTGTGTAATAGTGAGTGTAACTACTGTGATTTTGAGTGTAATGCTTCACGACTGAGTGTCACTGCTGTGAATGTGAATGAGCGTACAGATCTGATGCCCGGGACAGAGTACGGCGTCGGGGTGACTGCATACAGGGGCGACATTCAGAGCAAACCCTCGACCATCAACACCCGCACAGGTGGGGGGTGGCACTTGCACCATCCTCCCATGACCCGCTCCCCCCACCGTGGTCTCTCAGGAGGGCCCACCAACCCCCCCCCCCGCCCTCTGATTCGAGTTGCCGTGGGCTGTAATCCAGCGCCATGCCATGGAGGCTAGGGTTGTGTGGGTCGGACAAACTCCTGAAACTCTTCCCGAGGGCATCGATGTCGTCATCGCCTGGCTTGCCCGTGTGCGGCAGGTGGGACGCGTTCCGTTTAGTATGGGGATGGAGCGTTGTCTGCCTCGCCCACGTGGATTATCTACGGGCACTTTGGTTTCCTCCCACGTGTGCAATGCGCCCGTCAGTGGTCGCCCTTGCAAAAGAGGCGCGTGTGTATGTTGAACTTCTTTCGCAAAGTACGTAGCCAACCACAACAAACTAAACACAAAAAAGAGTTTCTGAAGAAAGGAGTTTTCAGATGCTGTTTCGTCTCCTGGTTAAATGATGGGCATGATAATGGATTCGTCAATGATTTCTGGTTCGGCCACTCAATGCCTTTGGTGAAAAAAAATCTATTTTCGAATCGTAATAATTGGCTGTGAAAAGGCAACTGTTAAGTTTAATTATTTTTGGAGGTGGCCCAGCAACTCAGCGGTGGGAGGAACCTCAGGCAAAGCTGCCAGGCCATGAGCCGGCCCCAACAGTTGCCCAAGCCCTGCGTTTTACGATGTTTTCAGCCAATTAATGAGTGTTTGGATATACGTGCGGGAGGAAACCGGGCCACACGTATAAAACCCACGCGTGCAAGGGGGCAACGCTCTATCCCATACTGGTGAGCCAGGGTAGTACGGTGCCCACTGGATGGGTTTTCACAAGAATTCCTAGAGGTGATCCACCAACCTTGCCACTGCCGCCTCCACAGCGTGTAGCCACCGCCGCCCGGCTGACCCTCGACCTTTGCGCGCGTCGTTGCAGAGATGGACAGCCCGCTGAACCTGCACGTGATGAACGCGTGGGACACGGGCCTCACCGTGCGCTGGGACCCGTGCCGGGCGCGCGTCGACCGCTACGCCATCATGCACATCTCGGGCACGGGCGCCATCGGCGAGCTGGCCGTGCCGGGCTCCGAAACGTCGGCCAACCTGACGGGCCTCCGCCCGGCGACCGAGTACACCGTGGTGCTGCAGGCCGAGAGCGGCCTCGAGAAGAGCCGGCCCGCGACGCTGTCGGCGAACACAGGTGATGGCGAGACGCGCGGAACGATGCGGAACGGCGCGGAGTGGCGCGGCGGAGCAGCTTTCCGTGAAGGCAGCCGTCGCCCGCTCAGCCTTAAGGGCCCGCGGTCGGTTGGGAACAATATCTTTCGTGCCGTTGTTTCCTGTAGTTTGCGACGTAGGTCAGTGTTGAACCGTCGAGGGAATTCTCTCCTCAAGGAATTGTTTGCAATCGATCACAGCGCTTACCTTGTGCATACGTGCGTTTGTACATTTATCTTCTTTCGCACCGTGCGTAGCTAACCACGCTGATCGGAGGTGCGGGGGAAGAAACTTGTCACGTGATGTTATCAAGAGCAGATCCCCGGACTGCCCTGGGATGAAACTTAGGCCCTGTTAAAAGGCCTTGGTCAGGGTCGTAAAGAGTGTGTCGCCGGTGGGACAATTTGCCTCGGGTCCAGAGATACCCAACATTGTCTGCACTGCCTCCTAGAGACACCGTCTTGTAATAGCAACCTCTCATACACTCGATGGGTTTGCAATTGAAATTCGGAGCAGTGAATTGCCTTGACACGGTAAATGCGTCTTGACGTTATTTAGCTTATTTTCTCATGAAGGAGTACATATTTGTCCTAATCCTGAGTGAGATAAAAAAAAGTATTTCCATTTAATTAAAGGCCTTTAAGTTTTTTTTTTACTCAATTAGGCAGCCACTTATTCAAGCAAAACAATCCCGCCGCAGCTCAGGAGAAGCCCCGGTCGTTTTTTCCACTGCAGAAGCCGAGCCGTGCTGCTAACAACGCGCACAACGAACACGTCGGGACAGGTGTAAGAGACCCAGTGAGGGTGCCACCTCCTCACGCTGCTACCGCTTTACGTCAAACGCAGTGAACTTCGTTGCTGGGCCTGGCCCTGCTTGGTCCCCGAGCCAGATTCAGATGTCTCACGAGGCCAGCGAACCACGGTTTGATCCCGGCTCGTTGGAAAAGAACAAACAAACAAACCCCGTACCGCTATGGCCGCCGCGCTGGCTCGGCTCAGATGTAACCGGTGGAACAGAGGTGCGGCGAGGCGGTTACTGATCAAGCGTGGCTCGCGCCCTTGTCGCGCCGCGCCAGGCTTCCGCCCCGTGCAGACGCTGCACTTTTCCGACGTGAGCTCTAGCGGCTTCCGCGTTGCCTGGGAACCGCCCGCCGTGCCGGTCGACGCCTTCGTGCTGCGGGTGTCGGAGGCGGCGCGGGGCCCCGGGGAGGGCCCCGGGGAGGGCCCGCGGGTGGTCACCATCGACGGCGGGCAGAGCGACGCGCTCGTCTCGGGCCTGCTGCCCGAGCGGCGCTACGACGTGTCGCTGGTGGCCGTGAAGGGAATGAGCACGGGAGAGGCCGTGCTGGGAGACGTGGCCACAGGTACCCGGCGTGGGCCTACCTGTGCCGGAGCGCGGTTTCTTTGAAGCGTGCGGGGGTCCCAGCGGACGCCAGAAGCGAAAAGCGAAAGGAGGGTGGAAGGGGACTCATCGTAGTGAAGGAGCCGGAGGTGGGGTTAGCGGTACGGTGAGGGTCATGGAAGGTTAGTACTCGTGGTGTGGGTTGGCTAAGTTGGTTTAGGCGAGGAATAGTGGGAGGGCGAGTACTAGTGGTCGGTGGGATAATTGGCTTTAGTCAAGGTTAGTGGTATGGATAATACTAGTTGGTTGGGTGGATAGTGTTAGTAGTACTGTCTGGATGGTCAGTTAGGGTCAGAGTTAGTAGTATAGCCAGTAGTAGCTGGTTGGTAATTTAGGGTCAGGGTTAGCGGTATTGCTAGTAGTCGTGGATGTTTGGTAAGTTAGGGTCAGGGTTAGCGGTATAGCTAATAGTAGTGCCTAGTTAGCTATTATTCTGGGTTGGGAGTAGGACCAGCCTTTGGTTGGATAGTTCGCTCCACCCAGCCCACGCTGCTGTCCTCTCCTCCTCCACCTCCTCCCCATCGACAACAAATGTCCCTTCCAGTCTTTGGCCACTTTCGACTCCTGGTGTTCACAGCGTCCCACCGTCGTGTTTGAAGGAAGACGCAACCCAAAACCCGACAGCCCTTGATTCTGATGTCGCTGCATCCGTTCACAACGCCAGGGACGGGGTGGGGGGAATCCTTAGAGAGCCACCCAGAGCCACGTCCGCCGCAGCTGTGGCGACGCTCGTGAAAGTCAGGTCTCCGTGACCCCCGATAAAAAATTTTTTATTTCACTCTCAAAACGTCCCAACTCGCGTAAGACAAACCGGGGGCACGCGGTCAGAGAGCCGTCAGCACCTGGGCCCTCTGGATTTTATTTTGGTTGCGTCTCCCGCCAGCGTGGACACTGACTCGCATGCGGCAAAGGTCAGGTTGGTTGTGCATTGTAATCTTGGTCAGTGTTTCTCAACTCCAGACTCCACCCCCACCCCACTACGTAACACGGTACAACTTTCCGTGATTGCCGTCCTTCAACTGCGTGCAGTGCGCAGTGGCTTAACCTGTATGTGAAAGTCCGGTCCGTGGAGCGGGGTTCGTCGGAGCTGGAGTCGAGAAGCGCTCACGTAATTGAACGGTTCTTTGCATGCACAGCGCTTACAATGTGCGTGCACGTGCGCGGACAACGGCCCGTGCGTATGGAGAATGTGCATCCATCGTTCAGTAAGGCAAGAAGAAACAACAGAAACAACATCCGTAACACCATTGCATGGAGGATAACCGCAGCACCCTCCCGGCGCGAGCTACCCGCGACGGGACCGTCGTGACGCGCGGGCTTTCTCGACCAAATGTCGTCGTCAGGTTCCGTCGGGAAACATTGCGTGTCGTACACCCTCCGGCACCTGACGCCAGCCTGTTAATCAACTTGCCACGTGGTGAGCAAACGTGCGTCGGGCGGAGGTGGGAGGACGAGACTTTTACATTCACGCGAGCAGAAAAAAACGTTATCATGAATCACATTGGTCGCGAAAGCCTACGTGTTCAATCTATATATATATAGCGTGTGATGCATGTTCAACTCATTTCATACCATACGCAGCCAATCGTGCTAGGCTCAGCCGTAGTAGGTATAAATGTTTATTACCCACAAATTCCCCGCAACAATGACCAATTAGTTCTCATTCAATTAGTCTACGAATGGCTTGGCGTGCGAAGGTCGCGAGTCGACCCCAGCCCTTAATCCCGCTGTGGTTGATCAAAAAAAACTGAGCGGTCGCTTAAAAGCGGCGATCGCCTCTGTGGCACCGAGCCCGGGCAAACGCGACGGGCTGCACCTCCCACGATCGTCGGCCTCTGCCGCTCTTTCCCCCCCCCCCGCGCAGTTTCGGACGCGCTGCAGGGGACATTGCAGGCATATGACGTGACGTCTGACAGCCTTAAGATAACGTGGCCAGCCCAGGAACCGAGGCCCGACAATTACCACATCAAGTACCGGCCCATCGGGAGAACTGCCGGCGCCGCCGGTGGCGGTGCCGGCGGCAGAGGAGGAGGAAGAGGACCCTCCAAGGACATCCCCGGCAAGTCGTGGAGCCTCCTGGCGCCGGCCTCGGCGACCCGTGCCAAGCTGACGGGCCTGCAGCCCGGCACGCGATACGAAATAGCGTTGCACGGCGTGCGCGGCTCACAGCTCACGAAGCCCCTCGAGGTTGTGGCTCGGACTTCAGGTAACCGGGCCGACGTGGAGCGCATGCCCAAGTCCGACCGCGAAATCGCCCGCCCGCCTGCCCGACCCGCCTGCCCGCCTGCTGCCTGCTGACTGCTGCCTGCCAGTCAGCCGGCACCATCAGCTGAGAACGCCTGTTTCTCTCCGTCTCTCTCTGCCTTGCGTGCTTTTCTTCCGTTCTTCCATCCCGGGCTCGGATCGGTGCATCGGCAGGGCGGGGGCTTGCGTAGTGCGCTGTGCGTGAGTGGCTGCGTGACATCTTTCAGCTAAAGCTGCCATTCATCGACGACATCACCGTCGTCGTCGCCATCATCGCCAACGACGATGAATGCTAAAGCATTGGGACGATTCCGAGGTGGGGGGGGGGGGGGGGGGGTGGACTAGAGTTGCCACCTTAAGGTACAAAACCAACCGGGAGACATCATCCCCGGAGGAAGAAGAAGAAGAAGGATGTCTCGCAATGCAGGACGAGTGGAGAACCGCGTGTGAACAGTGGTGCAGGATTATGATGATGATGATTATTATTATTCCGCAGCTGACACAAAAAAACCCGACGATTTTTAACGTCCTTTAGGAACACTCGGATATTTCCAAGGGCAGCTGCCACCTTAAAGAGGAGGACGATCCTGTGAAAAACGGGACAGGTGGCAACTCTAGTTGTGACGTGACTGAAATCTTGGTCTCTTGAGAATGGCTTGGGTTCGTCTGTTTGAATAATTCTCTGTTTTTCTTTTCTGTTCTCAGCATGGTTTGCATTGCCTGTCTGGGACTCGTCTGGGTTTTTATTTTGATTAACTTTGCTCACCATCCAACCACCGCCGCTGCCTTGTTCATCGCATCGCAAATGCCGCGTTCATTTTCATATTTTTTCTTGTGTGCAGTGTGTGGTTACCCGAGCGTGCACACTCGGGTTTTGTGCCCCGAGATTTGTCTTGAGGTTTTTTATTTTGAACAAAACGAAAAAAAATAAAGAAACCATTGGTTGTAGTCGAGTGGGGTGGGGGGGGCTTCATTTGCCACGGGACATTTCCCAGCTTGTTGGTAGGCTGTAGGCGAGGGAATAGGCCGCGACTTGTAGCCACAGCCAGGGCGAGAGGTACGGTGGATGTGGAGACATCTCAGCGTCACGATGTGTGCTCGGGGTGGTAAAGGCGCAGAGAGCGAACGGGTCTCAATCCGCCGGGTTTGGAAGTTCGAATCCAGTTGAGGGGTTGGCGCAGCCCATCATTCTTCCATGATCGGTCAAAGAATTACCACTTTTGTTGGCAAATCAGCAGTCGCCATAGAAATGTGAAAATTCCACCACTGACTTTCTTTTCGGCATTACCAGTTGCACATTACCTACTGAATTTTTGGATAGAAAGAAATACGCTTGTTCGACTTAGAGAGAGGGACACGTGTCCATATGCATGGTGGACTGTCCCATATATCAGCTACTGCCTGTATATACAATCTGCTAAACAATGCTTATTTGACTCTATCCATTCCGATCCTGTTCACCGTCCCCTCCCTCCCCGCTGTCAAATGCCCCGTCACCTCCTCCCCTCCCGTAGCTCTGAACCCGCCGATGAAGCTCTCCTTCTCGAATGTGACCCAGACGAGCGTCACGGTGAGGTGGGCTGCCAGGGAGCCCACCCCCAGCTCCTACCAGCTGTCCTACGAGCTCGCGGGCGGAGGTGAGTCGGCCAACGCCGGCAGGTGAACGCCGCAGTTGGTGCAACCCTTGTGACTGCTGCCTCCATGGCGCTGGATTACAGGCAGCCACGTGCAGCGGCGAAGTCGCCACCGTCATCACCGCCACTGCCACCACCGCCACCACCACTGCCACCACTGCCACCTCTGCTGCCACCACCACCGCCATCACCGCCACCACGGCCACCACCGCCACCCCTGCCGCCGCCACCACCGCCGCCACCACCGCCGCCACCACCACCACCACCACCGCCACCCCTGCCACCACCGCCACCACCACCGCCACCACCACCCCTGCCACCACCGCCACCACCGCCGCCACCACCGCCGCCACCACCGCCGCCACCACCACCACCACCGCCACCCCTGCCACCACCGCCACCACCACCGCCACCACCACCCCTGCCACCACCGCCACCACCGCCACCACCGCCGCCACCACCGCCGCCACCACCGCCGCCACCACCACCGCCACCCCTGCCACCACCGCCACCACCACCGCCACCCCTGCCACCACCGCCACTACCACCACCACCGCCACCCCTGCCACCACCGCCACCACCGCCGCCACCACCGCCGCCACCACCGACGCCACCACCACCACCACCGCCACCCCTGCCACCACCGCCACCACCACCACCGCCGCCACTGCCGCCACCACTGGCATAGAGCAAGATAATTCCTTGTAACGCTCTGACAACGACGATGATGGGAACACAGCGAGCCTGCTCATTGTGTCGCTTACGCCGCCCCTGTCCCCCGTAGATGGGGATCGTGAGATGGTGTCGCTGGCGGGCGGCGTGACGGAGTACACGCTGCAGGACCTCACACCGGGCACGGAGTACACGGTGGGGCTCGCCTACCTCCCCGACCCCGACAACAACGACGCCTCCACGGGGAGCGTCACCACCGGTAGCGGCGCAAAACGGAGCACCGGGTCCCCCCTCCCCCCCACGGCCACGTAAGCGTCGGGATGGCCCGAGAGGGCTGAGCCCCCACCAGCCCACGCTGCTTCTGGGAGGTGGCGGTGGACGATTGAATGAATAACGAACGAATGAATCTGACATTTCAGAGTTTTTGCTGTCTGCTCGGTTTGTGCTTTCCCCCTCCTTTCCCCCCCCCCCACCTCCCCCCCCCCCCCCGTGCCAACTCGCCCACGCTCCACCCACTCCATCCTCTCTCTCTCACGCCACCGCCGCGACCCCAGTGCTGGACAGCCCCGTGGCGCTGCTCGCCGTGAACGTGGAGGCTTCTGAGGCGCTGCTGGTGTGGCGTCCGGGCCGGGCGCCCATCGACTCCTACATCGTCACGTACTCCACGAGCGGCCACCGTGAGCTCGGCCGTTGAGTGCGACTTGGGGGGGTGGTCAGGGGAAGTCGGGGTGTTGGGGGGCTGGGCCAGGTTTGGTTGGGGGTCACACCAATGTCTTCTGGGAGGGGGGGGGGGGGGTGTGGGGGAGTTTACCAGATGCGCCGCATTTCCCGCAATGGAAAATAAGTAGAATATTGTACCGCATCGCGATCCCGCTTCATAATTCAATGAGAGTCCTGCAGCGGTTGCGAGATGTTAACTACCTCGCCTCGTATACAGGAGGCAGAGAAGTTCGATCCCGACCCTGATGCCTGTAGATTTGGAATTTGCATGTTCTCCCTGTGGTTGTGTGGATTTTTTTCCGGATCCTCCGTTTTCTTCCGGTTTTCCCCCTCCAGATTTAGAATCGACATGTGTTCAGAGTATTTGCCTGCTAGGAAATTCCACATGACAAGCCACTTCTTTGAGCTATCTATGTAGCTCAGTGTGCCTTACCTGGTAAAAAAACATTTGTTTAGTTTCTATTTTACATAGCAATCTGTGGTTGCGCTGTACCGTATACAGGGCCACCACCGGTCCCAATGGAGACAAAACCCAGAGACATTTCTCAGTCGGCACCAGGTCTTTATGAACAATTGGAGAATCTGCTCCGAACGTTATCGCCTTTTCTCCCCCCCAAGTAAGTTAAGTGCTCAATCCGCTGCTGGTTGAAGACCTCTCCAAATGTGTCGGTCGTGGGAGTCGTTCGACCATACTTCACCACGCTGACCAGTGGCGGGTTTTGTTAACGTTTGGGCGTCCCCCGTCACACGGGTTCAAGCACGTCCCTCTCGTGGCCACGGCGAGTGATCAAACTCTTCATGGCGGCGCTCGTCAGCCCGCCGCACTTTAACCGCGTCGCCACCGCACAATGACACGACCACGGTTCGCGCGTTCTGTTCCGGCAGCGGGCGGAGAGGAGGAGGTGGAAACTCTCAACGTTCCTGCCCCCGCCCTCGAGCAGCAGCTGACGGGGCTGCGTCCGGCGAGCACGTACCACGCGACGGTTCGCACCGTCAAGGGGGCCCTGGAAAGCCCGCCCAGGGCCACCACCTTCACCACGGGTGAGGAGCGCGAGGCCCCCCCGGAAATCGGAGCCACCCTCACCCCCCTCCACCCCCACCGCCCGCCGCTCCACCCCCACCCACCCCTCTACTCCCCCCAACCCCTCCCCGCCGATCCTACATGGTGATGCCATGTCCGGCCCAGCAGTAGAGTGAATAGCTCACAGTCATAAGGTCGCGAGGTCAATCCCTGGTTGGGTGGGTTGACTCAGCCCGTCATCTTTCCAGGGTCGATGAAATGAGTACCACCATCGGGGGAAGGTAACAGCACTTGCGCTACGGATAGACTCGCCCACGGCCATATGAATGTGGAATTTCCACCGCTGGCTCAGCAGGGCTGTAAGCGGGAGATGAGCACCAAATGCCGTGACGCGAATTTGAGCGGCAGGAGCTTTATTGTGACTTTCTCCTGATGTCTTGATCGTCACTGTCATCCGTGCATGGGCAATGGGCGAAAAATACCCTTTGGGAGTACTTGAAGTAACTGTTCGTGTACGGTAAAATATTTGCCACCTGTATGTATGCACGTTGAACTTCTTTCGCACCGTACGTAGCCAACCGTGCTAATCAGAGGTGCACGGGGGGGGGGGGGGTGGGCGCTAATTGGAGGTGCAATAGAAGCGCTGTCAATGCCATGTGACCGCCCTCTCGTGCAGCCTCGGGCTCCCCGCTGGCGGTGACCTTTGGCTTCGTGACGGAGAGCACGGTGGAGGTGAAGTGGCTGAGCCCGACCCCCGCGCCCGACTGGTTCATCGTCTCCTACGTGCCCACCAACGGGGGTGAGAGCGCCGTCGTCTCTTTGCCACCGCCCCTCCCCGCCCCCCTCCCCCCCCGCGGCATGTTACGTTGACCCCTTGTTGACCCCGGCGTTGCTGCCGTGTCAGGCGAGGTGGAGAGCGTGACGGTGGCGGGCGCGCTGGTGAGCCACACGCTCACCGGGCTCTCCCCGGGCACCGAGTACGAGGTGAGCGTCGCGTCGCTGAGCGGCGCCGTCGAGAGCGAGCCCATCTCCTCCTCCGTCACCACCGGTACGTGCGTGTGTGCGCGTGTGCGTGTGCGCACGTGCGTGTGTCTGTGTGCGTGTGTGCATACGCTCGGGTGTGCATGTAAGTCAGTGCACGTGTGTACAGTGCAGCTTGCGTGCCCAAATTTCCCGAATTCGTAAAACGACCCACAAATTGCTAAATTGGGATAAGTCACCTTGTGCCGCTGGGGGATGCCCTTCCAATTGTGTTGAGATGAGACAAAGTCACTCTGAGCGGTCACGTTGCCTCCTCTTCTTCATCGGTCGTCCATTCACTAAGGAGGTGACCGCATCTGCTGTACTTCGGCAAAAGTGTTTCTCGCCAATAGGCCCCCATCGGAGAGCCGTACAGCATGACAGCTAAAAACCTACACGTTCCTAGCTCAGCCATCCTTGTGTTCACTTTTACTAACGCAGCACTAGCCGAATCTGTTATTCCCCCGCACCTCCGATTAGCACGGTTGGCTACGTACGGTGCAAAAGAAGCTCAACATACATAATTTACATAAATACGACCCCGTTCAGATCATCGTCAATGGTGTTGGCCGCAGCTTGCTAACCATTGCGCTGCCATTCCCCACCCGCCCCCCCCTCCCAACACACGCACACCCCCACACCCCCACACGCACTTTGCACCTCCTTGCCGTCCCCTCCGCGTGTCTGCTCCCCGGTCTCCGCCGCCCGCCTCCTGCAGCGATCGACGCTCCGCGCGACCTGGCGGCCGTGGAGGTGGCCGGGCAGAGCGCGCTGCTCACGTGGCGCCCGTCGCTCGCTAACATCACGGGATACACGCTGAGGGTGCAGGGCCCCGACGGCGACACCACGGTGAGCGACGCCGCGCCTCCTCCTGCACCGCACCCTCGGCTCGCCGGAATAAAGTTAAGTTTTTATAAACTGAACTATTTTCTGGTATTTTACCAGGTAAGGCCCACTGAGCTACGTGGCGCTTTTTCAGGAGCGACCACCCTGGCTATCACAAATGATAGCTCAACGAAGTGGCTTTATAGCAACCATATACGTGAAATGCCTGTGTTCATTCTAAATGTGGAGGGAAACACCGGAGAACCTGGAGAAAAATCCACGCGACCACGGGGAGAGAGAGACACGCAAACTCCCAAATATACAGCAGCAGCAGGCGTCAGGGTCGGGATCGAACCCACGACCTCCTTTATACCAGGCGAGGTAGTTATCATCTCCTAGCCACCACGGAACCCTCGTATCAGGCCACCTAACGTACCGTGTGGCTCTCCTCCATTCGCTTACAACTTGCCCCGTCGATCGGCTTTCTCTCGTCGCGTCCGAGACGGGCGCCACCGGCGCGTTGACGCGGCCCAGCGGGATCACCTTTGCCGATCGTACCAGAGGCTCACGGTCCACGGTTGTGGGCTACACGGGGGACCTTCGTATCGTTTCCGTGCAGGAGCTGCAGGTGGACGCGGGGGCCTCGTCGCGGCATCTCGACGGCCTGACGAGGAGCACGCCCTACAGCGCTAGCCTGTACGCTCTGCGCGGGGACGAGCGAAGCGCCGCCGCCCTCGCCGACTTCACCACCGGTACCGGGCGCGTATGTGCGTGTGCCTGGTGCTGGCCACACACCCCCTCGGGTGCCGTGCGAGCCTTCATAGGTGCTGCTCGCTAACAGCACTTGCCCCTACAGCCTGTTAAGGCTACACGGGGGATCTTTGTCTTTGCGTGTAGGTATGTGCGGGGATCGGTAGCGTAGCGGTTAGCTCGCTTATCTGAACCGGTCCTGGGCCTCCCCGAGGTCGACTCAGTCTCAAATGAACACCTGGTGTGATGTGTAAACTCTGCTACCAGGGAGACAAAGGTGGCCGGGTGTGGTGGTGCTGGCCACGCACCCCCTTGTGCGCCGTGCCAGTACTTACCCCAAAAGACCGTCAAAGGTTATACGGGGGAGCTTTGTTGTGTCTGTATGTCTTGGCGTGCGTGTGTCCCACCACAGACGGGCGTCTGATCCAGAACCCCCAGGACTGCGCGGAGCAGTCGCTCAATGGCGAGACGGAGAGCCGTGTGTACACGGTGTACGTGCGCAACAACGAGTCGCAGCCGCTGCTCGTCTTCTGTGACATGAGCACGGACGGGGGCGGCTGGATTGTGAGTAATGGTCGCACACGCGCGTATGTGCATGCGTGCGTGTGTGTGTGTCCGCGCGTATACACACGTGTATGCGCCCTATACATGTCGGCCCTAGCTAGGATTCGTAGCGCAAATTAACCAACAACATTTTTGGGTGGGAAAAAAATATATATAAAAATGTTCCCCTTGTTATTATAGATTTGGAGTATGGATGTGTATTATAGTTGTGTAACTCCATTATTGCGCACGATGGTAGCGGCAATGTGTTTAGGAGCCAGATGCCAATGTCGAGGTTTGCTGGCCACGGCAGAGAGAGTTCGTGTCATTTTGCTGTTCCTCATCCTCCGTTGAAGCAGCGTAGGCTACAGTGGGTTTACTGTGCGGGCCATAGTTTGGCTTGCATGGCCACTCAAGAGACCATGATGAGTCTTATTTGCCAGAGTGACCTGGTTCACAAAATTGACAAAAGCAAAAACAAATAAATTCTAGATATTAGAAATGAAGCAAATATAAATCGGAGCGAAAAGCAACTGCGTCACATGGGAAACTCACAAATTTTGCACGGACTTGAATCGACGTGAATCAACGTTCAACTAACGGGGTGGCGTTGACACCCCCCCCCCCCCCCCCCCCCCCCGCCGTGCCCGTCGCTATAGGTGTTCCAGCGGCGGCAGAACGGACACACCGAGTTCTTCCGCGATTGGAAGTCGTACGCGCGGGGATTCGGCGACCTCCGTGATGAGTTCTGGCTCGGTCGGTTTAAGCGCAGCCACCGCGGGTCACCGGCATGGCCACTGCTCCAACCGCGATAACAACAACAGCGAACAGCCATCAACAACCACCAAACGCGCACGCACGCACACATGCTCACGCACACAACCACTGAAAAATTCACACACACACGCAAATACCGCTGCCACGGACAATTATTTTCATAGACGGAACTCCACGGTCACCGTATGCTGTTGCTGTTGCGGGTTGCTCGTCACAAATAAAAGTGTTGCTAGCGACAATTGCTAGTGACGATCGCCATGAAGTTGAGAGTTGCCACCCGGTACATCAACCGTGTGGACAGCGCGTAATTCATCTGGGTCTCCCCCGCGCTGTTTTGCCTCTTTTAAACAGCGCCCGTGAATCGACACCATTCGTCGCAGGCCGCTGTTTGCTCCGAAGTACACCGCCGGCATGCGCGCTGTCTTTGTTCGTACTTTGTTAAAGTCAGGGGTGGTGGCTTGACGTAAAACTAACCCCAAGATCACTCCGTTTGCACATTTTCATTACCGTCCTCACCACTACCGCCACTCTATTTCCCCATCAGCGCAAGCCCGACCCCACTGACGAGAACGCTGAACGTCGAAACCGGCCCAGACTTTGCTTGTCTTGAGTCAATGCTGCTGAAACGACGCACTCCCAGAAGGAAGGCCGTGCGGACGAAGGGTCCTGTGCGACGTTCTGACGGCCGCTGGCGATCGCCGTTCCCCAGGTCTGGACAACCTCCACCGGCTGACGCAGCAGGGCCGCTACGAACTGCGCGTGGACCTGCACGACGGCCCCGAGGAGGCCTTCGCCCTCTACGACCGCTTCGCCGTGGCCGACGCCGCCGCGCTGTACCGCCTGCGGATCGGGGCCTACAACGGCACGGCCGGTAGGGGGTTGGCCCGGCACACGCACGCACCGCACGGCGCCACGGGCACGGCCGGACGTGGGTACGGCCAGACCCACAGACCCGGACGAGGCAGATAAGTTGATCAAGGTGTTTGCCATGGGCAAAGCTGCTAATGCCACCGCACCTCGCCAATATAAAACGGGCACTGCTGGATTGAGGTAACTCTGACCCTGGGATACCGGAGCAGACGAGAACGCCTCTCGGCGCACGTTGGAGAGCGTTACAGAAATCCGTGCGACGCGTGGCTTTAGATTGTTTAAGCGCGCGTTCAACGTGCATCCGTTTGTGACCCTCAACCTGCCCCCCACTGCACCCACTGCCCCCCCTTCCGGCGCTCCCTCACCTCCCGCCGACCCTTGACCCCGGATGATCCCCGGCGGGCCGTGCCGCGCCACCAGGCGACTCGCTGTCCTACCACCAGGGCCGGCCGTTCTCGGCGCCGGACCGCGATAACGACGTGGCGGTCACGAACTGCGCCATCTCCTACAAGGGCGCGTGGTGGTACAAGAACTGCCACCGCGTCAACCTCAACGGGAAGTATGGTGAGGCCAGCCACAGCCAGGTACGCGCGCCAACGCAGCCCGCACAGCGCGTGCGGGGAAACGCCCCTTGTGTGGCGCGTATGTTGAGCTTCTCTCGCGCCGTACGTGGCCAGCCGTGCTAATCGCAGGTGCGGCAGGGGGAAGGGCAACAAACTGAGGACAAAAAGCAGTTCTAAAGAAATTCGTTTTCAATCTATCCACAGACCCTTATATCCGCCCCTAATATCCGCCAATTCTGCTATACCGTGGATGCCAGTCGACACGCGGATTCTTCCTGTTGTCGGTGTTTATTCGCGGGTAAGAAGAGTCACCCGGAAGGGGCTGCGGATTATTCCCGTCTTCCCGTTATCCGTGTCCATGTACGGGTAACCGCACATGGACACGGTTAGCTGTGCAAGTATCCGTGGACACGGCGCGCATTATAAGATACGCCAATAGCGCCCTCCGTATCAACGCGGAGAAGGGTAGATTCGCTCTAATAATTATTTGTTCCACGTTTCGTACGTCGCGCGGCGTACCACGTTAAACAATCCAAATTCGTCGCTTCGGCAATGCAACGGAGTTACGCATTCCTTAGCCGTCGTGCCCCGGACAAGGGTCCACAACTTGGGCGCGTCTGACCCTCCGCCCTCTGCTCTCAAGAGTTTGAATGGAGTTGCTCTGCGTCACCGAACCGCGTGCATCCTCCTTTCCCAGGTGTCGCGGCCGCCTTTGGCAGAATGGAGAAACGCGGTCCGCAAATGTCGCTGTGGCCGTCCGTGAGAATGACTTAACCGTGCCGCGCCGGGCCGGTGCGCGCGACCGCATTGCTGCACGCGCGGATTGCGACACCGCTGAGCCCCGTCGCGAGAGCTCGCGCGAGCGCCGTCGTGACGCCGTGTCCGTGTGCGTGCCCCTGGGCAGGGCATCAACTGGTACCACTGGAAGGGCCACGAGCACTCCATCCCCTTCGTCGAGATGAAGATGCGGCCACACGGATACGTGCACCCGCCCGGGGAGCAGCGCTAAGCGCTCCCTCCTTCCTTCCCATCCCGACCCCCCCAGCGGAGCCCCCTCCCCTCCCCACCCCTCCCCACTCCCCTCCCACCCCCCTCCTCCCACTCACCCCACACTGGCCAGAGCACGAACCCATTCACCCAAAGGCAGGTGCACACCTGAGCGATCGTTTTTATTTTTTATTTTTGTTTAGCCATGGTGAGCATTCGGGAGACCAGGCTAGAGTCTCATTCGCCGAGAGTGACCTGGGGCATCAGTCTGCCAGTCGGGTTGTGCGGCGACTGCCGCCGTGTGTCATCCCAATTGAGCAGCGTGCGGTGTCATTTTCCGATTGAGGCAAATTTGTACCCTGACGCCGGCACTCGCGATGGCCTTGCTCTTTAACGTCCCACTGTGAGCGAAGCGAGACGGCGGCGTTGCAATCGTTACGGTCGGCGCGCACCGCCGCAGCGTTAACCAGGGCGGCCCGCCGGATTCGAACCGCGAACCTCCACGACGAACCGGCCGCACGCCCGCCCGCCTGCCCGCGTCACCGCTACCAAAGTCGCGCAACTTGCGCGTCTCTGCGACCAGTTGCGAACAGTTGCACGCAACCGGGTTTCCTCGCAGTCATGACGGACTGGGTTTCTGCTCGGCGAACAGGGCAGCGAGAGAGAGCGAGCGAGCGAGAGAGAGGGAGCGTACGGGGCGAACGATGCAAACGGAGACGGTGAATAGACGCAACGAAAACTGTCGAACGCGTTGCATGGGGATTGTGACGATCCGTAAGTAATTGTGACTTGTGGAAGGGATGCACGGCCTAGGGTTTATTTGTAACTGCTCCCATATTTAAGTGGCATGCTGTGATTACAACTTCGTGGGGTTTTTTTTATTTGCGAATGTTACATGGTTGGGATACTCTATTATTCATCAGATAGTTTAACGGTTTATTCAGTAAATGAGTGGTCATGCATCTTTCACGACAGGTTTAGAAACACTTAGTCTATGGCATTATACAAATCCCATGTTGTCTGTGAGTGTGTGTATATATAATATACAGTCACAGAGCACTGCTGCCACTCGCCTATAGATTAAAAAAATAAAATCCACTCTCCATTGTCATTTGAATTCGAAACCAAAACAGGTTCCCAGTATGTCTCTTGAGCCAATGGTACCAATAACCCCTTATCGGTACTACCTAGGCTGGTAAATGCTAACAGTGATTTATTTGCAGCGTGCGATCTCTAGATCACAAATATGTATGATAGCAAGGTCGACGTGGTAGCTTTTTTTCAAACGTGTTGTTAGCAAACGGTACCGTAGTACGTTTGAGAACCCCCCAAAAAACGAATGTGATGGTAATCATCCACGGAAGATGAAAATAAACAGGAAATGCATCTGCAAACGAGACGGGATCACGGTGGACACTGCCCATGGTGGACACTGCCCATGGTGGACACTGGTAGTGTTTGTCACCCCAGGTGGTACCGACCAACCCCCATTGGCTCGTGGTCTAACGTCGCAGCCTCTGCGAATGAGTTCGCCTTGGAGGTGGGCCGCACGATGCACGGTGTCACGTTGCCGATATCGCCACGCGCGCTCGTCACTTCGCTTCGTCACACGTGGTGAAAGAGGATTCTCAACTTCGATACGGCGCAAGAACTTATTAGAAGTGACGACACCGATGATGATGACGATGATGATGGCGATGATGATGACGCCGTCGGCATCGTGCACGACAATGTCCACTCGGAGACTCGCGGTAACTTGTCCCGCACCAAAGATGGGCGAGTGGTCATCGTTAAGTTAAAACCTGCACGCGTTGATTGTCCTGGAAAGTGGATTTGTTGGTTAGCGGTAAGGCGCATCGTTAGTTTATGGTGGAGGTGTATCTGTGAAGACTTTGTGTGTGCCACAGCAAGCACGTGTGTGTGTGTGTGTAGCTTTTGCACGCGGTCGCTACTTAAAGCTTGGTTAGAGCCGGTGTTTGGTTTTTTGAGCGAGGCGTCTGAATCAGTCTTCGGGTTATTCCGTTACCGAATGTCGGCTGTAGAGCGGGGCGTTATTTGTTTAGAGGGCCCGCCGATGCGCAGCAGATACCTCGTTGCGACGGGTTGGTCAACAAGGCGGCTTGACGTGACCTGGGTTTCGCCTGATTTTTTTCTCCCAGAACTCAAGTTGGAGGGCAAAGTAAACCGCTGCCCTATGAACAGCATAAGAGGAAAGCTGCCCTCAGACTACGTGAAATAGCTGTGGACATCATCAAAGAAGCAGGAACCAGTAGGGGGAACAACATTTTAAGGACTTGTTTGTAAAATATTTACACAAGAAACAAAAGCAGGGATTCTTTGATTTTTCAAGTTACTCAAGTTCCTTGCGAGTCAAATATCAAGACCTTGTTACTGATTAATATGAAATCTATTCGTCCCTGCCTGGATTCTGACAGAAGAAATTCAGGCTAACCCGCGAATTTAAATGTCCCATGATATTTTGGGATATCGTCCAACATTCAAACTCGAGTTGACAAATTCTAGAGACACATGCCGCTGAGACGGAAACTTGAGCTTCAAACTCGTGTTATGTTGTTCATGGAAACTAGGCACTGGGTTAGATTCCCCTTTTTCTGCCCGTGATATAGTCAGGGCCAGGCCGAGATTGATTTGTACCTACCGCCAGCCCAATATTTTAATATCTTAATGATGCAGACTCGTCAAGTCTCGTCAAGTTTCCCAATGAGCTCGAATGAGCGTTCAGCCGCGGGCATCTGCTGTTGTCGTCAGTGCCGAGACATTTGTGGAAATTCCATATTGCTATGGCAGGGCCTTATTCTCTCCCTAATTATAAACAACCACTGTTGACTACCAGACGATAAATCGTTGAGAGGATGGGCAGCTTTCCTCTGTCCTCACATCCGAGGGGATATCTTTACCCCAGGTCTCCAAAAACCTTTCTGCTTCCCTGCCCAAAGAGAAGATGGTCCGAGTTTGACACAGACAAAGATTACAATTTGAATCCCTAAGTCCTGGCGACATTGCTAATGTCACATGGAGTATTCTCTGGGCCAGAGACAGTTTGGGAAAAACTTTTTCTTTGTGATGTGCATCAGCTACATCTCTGCCCTTTGAACTGATTCCTGCTTTGACTCGTCTGCGTGAACAATTAAAAGTCTTAAGCCTGTTATAATCTAGTAACACGGCACAAAACGAAACTCACAGTGACGTGAGTTTCGTTTTTTTCCCCTCAATCCCAGTTTGGACGATTTAATTTTGACCGTCATCAGTGGGGACTGTGCTTCATGTGTGCCGGGCCCATGTATGAAATGTATATACCGTACTCGATAGATTCTATCAATGCTCCTGCATCCTCACGAATACAGCTACGAGGATCTTTCTGTTACTTTTTTATTATTACTAGACTTAACTTTTTTTTTTTAGTGCTTAGAGTTTATCACAGTTACACGTGTATGCAGTAGAGTAGAAACCCCAGGGCATTTTTGGTCATAGCGTATTATATTTAGACCATGTAACCCAGGTGTTGCTATGGCAAATGTGGTTGTCGGCCCTCGGAGGGAGTGCAGCAGGGGTGAGGGGAGCTCAGTGGAGGCTTGGGTCTGCGTCCCGGAACGTCTAATTTTATTTCACGACTCGCCTGGGCAGTAATAACTCGCGCAAATGGTCGTGATTTCCCCTTTCTTTTTTACCATAACAGCCTCACAGCAATGGGACTGGTGTAATTCACTCGCTCCGCGTATGTGTGTGTGTGTGTTTCGATGTCTCTAAGTCAAAGTTTAAACAACAACAACATCTCTGCTCTGACGTACAATGGATGCTTCCCTTTGAGCCAGTGGTGACAATTACACATTCCCATGGACGGTGCAAGTCCATCCGTAACAAGAACCGACTTTCACTTCTCTATGCTTTGCAATTTCACCGGAGGTTGTGATGGGCTCAGTTGGATAATACATGGGATGTTTGTGTTGTCGAGTTAAACAGAAATGCCTCCCAGTGCCCCCCCCAAACTCCCTCCTGCCCCCCATCCTCGCCCCCCACGACCCTGCCGACAGGACAATTCGCCAAATGACGACGCGTCTCTGTGAAATGCTGCCGCGTTTTCCCCCCCGAGTCGTTTGGTGTCAACGGTGAACCTTGTGACGAAATAAAACGGATGAACGTACCAACTCTTCCCTCTTTCCGCGCGCTAACGCCGCCGCTGTGGTGGTCTCGTTCGTCGTCGTGAGCCCGCGGTCTATCCACTGCTGGCTGACGGCTTCCACGACGAGCAGACGGACAGGGCGATTGGCTGCGTTCTCCAATCCTTCCCCTGCTGTTCCTTCACCAGTCTCGACCGTCGGTCATGCATCGCGATCGTCGTCATCCCTTCTCGCCGCGATGTGCACCGGCTCACAGCCCCAATAACACTTTGCCGAAAGATCGATATGATGTCTATGCACTTTGTTGGCATGAAACTGCAATGAGTTGTTAATTTACAGCACGTACACACATACAAAGACAAAGATCCCCCGTATATAGCCTTGACAGACTGCAAGGGCAAGTGCTGTTAAGGCCGGCGCAGTACACAAGGGGGTGGATGGCCAACACCACGCCCGACCGCCTTTGTCTCCCCTAGTGGCGATGTTTACACATCGCACCAGGTACTCATTTGAGGCTGAGTCGACCTATGGGAGGCCCAGAACCAGTTCAAATAATCTTCACTGGTGTTGGCCGTGAGCAGGAATCGAACTCAGGTCGCCAGGTTTGTTGCGCAGCACGCTAACCGCTACACTACCGCTTCCCAGTACACACACACACATGCACACACACATGCACATGCACACATGCACACACGCACACATGCACACACACGTGTACATCTGGTATATGGCGTTCTCCGTTTTACTTGCTCACAGTGTGCTTTCCCCTTCAAGAGACAACATGCAGATAATGATCTTTCACACACACACAAAACAAACTATCGTTCAATTACCCTAAATGTCAGGCTCGTTTGTTAAAACGTCTTCAGTGTTCACCTTCGTCGCCACGGGTGCGTGTTTATTACTTAAGAGCGTTTACTGCACCTAATGGGTGCTGGCCAAATTGTCTCTCGAATAAAGATCCCCCGCATAACCTTAACAGACTGTTGGGGCAAGTGCTGTTAGAGAGCAGCGCCTATGAAGGCCGGCACGGCAGCACGCACGGCCGCCTTTGTCTCCCCAATGGCGATGTTTTTATACACACTACTACAGGTACTTATTTGAGGCTGAGTCGACCTGGGGGAGGCCCAGGACCGGCTCAGATAATCGTCACTGGGTGTTGGCCGTGAGCGGGAATCGAACCCGGGTCACCAGGTTCGTAGCGCAGTGCGCTAACCGCTACACTACCGCTCCCCAAACACACACAGACACATGTACACACACGCACACACACGTACACACACGCACACACACGTACACGCACACACGCATACAAACGCACAGACACGCACACACACGTACACACGTACACACACGCACGCACACGTACACACACGCACACACACGTACACCAACGCACAGACACACGCACACACGTACACACACGCACACACACGTACACACGTACACACACACGCGCACACACGTACGCACACGCACACACGTACACACACGCACAGACACACGCACGCACGCGTACACACACGCACGCACACACACGTACACACACGCACACACACGCACAGACACATGCACACACGTACACACACGTACACACACGCGCGCACGCACACACGTGCACACACACGCACAGACACGCACACACACGCACGTGCACACACACGCACAGACACACGCACACATACGTACACGCACGAACACACGTGCACACACACGCACACGCACGCACACACACGCACACATACGTACACGCACGCACACGTACACACACGTACGCACACGTACACACACACACGCACACACACGCACAAACGCATAAGCTCTTTCAGAACTTTCTTAATGGAGGGGACCCACGTGTTAATAATCCTTGCGCTATGCTCACAAATCTGGTCGACCCGATAAAAACACGCAACTCAATTCAAGTGTTCAACGCTGCCCAGCTTGAATGTGTCATCGGGCGACAATAACGGGACCCAGGGCCAGAGCCTGAAGCGATAACGAGGGGCCCAACGACACGCACGAAGATATAGACGAAGGCAAAGATCCTCCGTGTAGCCTTAACAGATTTTTGGGACAAGTGCTGTAAGCGAGTGGCGCCTATGAAGGCCAGGGGCCGGCACTGTGGCACACGAGGAGGTGAGGGGGGGGGGAAGCATTTGAGGCTGAGTCGACCTAGGGGAGTCCCAGGAGGGGTTTCGTAGCGATGCGCGCTAACCGGTACACCACCGCTCCCCCACAAGTACACACACACACCCGGTGACACACACAACGCAGTGACACACACACACAGTGAAACACATACACAGTGAAACACACATACACATACACAGTGAAACACACATACACATAAACACAGTGACACGCACACATAAACACAGTGACACACACAAACACAGTGACACACACAGTGACACACACACATAAACACAGTGACACACAAACACAGTGACACATACAAACACAGTGACACACACACATACACAGTGACACACACACAACCCTAGTGATGATCCCAGTTTGTGGCCATTAAGATGCTTGCGAGCCCAACGACCAGTGATTGTAGTCACTAATCGCATTGAAGCGGACATATCCGTTGGGCTACTTGTCCAATTCTGACTTGTGCTCGTTATCGCCATCATTATTGTTGTGTATTGTGTACTCAACATTTACTAGCGCCTTTGCAGTAAGAATAACAACAGCACTTTCCATAGTTGAGTTGTGAGTGACATTCCACGCCGTAATATTGCAATTGCACCCTCATCTAACTCGCAGATCATAGTTCATATCTGTGGACACAACCTCCAACCCAACCATCCACGACCTACGATTAGCACAGTTGGCTACGTACGGTGCGAAAGAAGTTCAACATACATAGCACGGTTGGCTACGTACGGTGCGAAGGAAGTTCAACATAGACACACCACGTGATGGCGACCTCTATGGCATTAGAATTTGGGGCGAGCGCCCCACCCCACTCCCCCACTCCTCCCCCCGCCTCCCGCGGCAATTATCAGTGCTGTGTGTGTGTATGACATACACACACACAGCACTGACACACACACACAGCGCGCGTGTGTGTGTGACATACACACAGCGAGATATATAAAAGGAAGAGGCTCGTGAGCGGCGTTGGACTTCGCGCCATGTAATGCAACAAACCACTTTGCCGGACCTTGCTACACCCCCGCAACTCTCCATCGGAGTACCTGGTGAGTGGGGTGAGTGGGGTGAGTGCCTGGTGAGTGGGCGAGTGGGGCGAGTGGGGTGAGTGGGGCGAGTGGGGTGAGTGGGCGAGTGGGGTGAGTGGGGTGAGTGCCTGGTGAGTGGGGCGAGTGGGGCGAGTGGGGTGAGTGGGCGAGTGGGGTGAGTGGGCGAGTGAGGTGAGTGGGGTGAGTGAGCTGAGTGCCGGGTGAGTGGGGTGAGTGAGCGAGTGGGGTGAGTGGGGTGAGTGGGCGAGTGGGGTGAGTGGGGTGAGTGCCTGGTGAGTGGGGTGAGTGCCTGGTGAGTGGGCGAGTGGGGCGAGTGGGGTGAGTGGGGCGAGTGGAGTGAGTGGGCGAGTGGGGTGAGTGGGGTGAGTGCCTGGTGAGTGAGCTGAGTGCCGGGTGAGTGGGGTGAGTGAGCGAGTGGGGTGAGTGGGGTGAGTGGGGTGAGTGAGGTGAGTGGGGCGAGTGGGGTGAGTGGGCGAGTGAGGTGAGTGGGGCTTGACTGCTCGTGTGGGAGCGGTAGTGTAGTGGTTAGCGCGCTGCGCTACGAACCCGGCGACGCGAGTTCGTTTCCCGTTCACGGTCGACACCAGCGACGATTATCCGAACCCGAATTGGGCCTCGCCTAGGTCGACTCAGCCGCAAATGAGTACCTGGTGCATCGCCACTGGGGAGACAAAGGCGGTCGGGCGTGGTGCTGGCCACCCACCCCCTCGTGTGCCGTGCCGGCCTTCAGAGGTGCTCGCTAACAGCACTTGCCCCAACAGTCTGTTACAGGCTATACGGGGGGAACTTTGTCTTTGTGACACTGCTGCCAAGTGTGACGAGTACGCTGGCACAATTAGCTCAACGTACGGATGTTTTAATAACACCCCCCCCCCACTCCCGTTTCCGATTAAGTCCAGGTTTGATGACAAATAATTACAATCGTGTGCTGCCGCTACCTCTGTGCATTAACTCTGTTGCATCACTCTGTGTGTTCAGCGCTTCGTCCGTCGGTGCTTGTCGGGACTTGTTTTCTACTTGGCGTGATGTGAAGTCCTGTACTGCGATACATGTTGAGCACACAGAGAACCTATACAAGTCACACGGCTGACCTATAGACCCGCACAGATATCTGTGCAGTCACACGGTGGACACACGAACTCGTAGACTCCCACTTAGACACAGACTCGCACAGAGACTCATAGATTTACACAGAGTGGCAGAGACCCAGAGACTCGCATTGAGCGTAATGTGATGGTAAGTTCGCGCACGTTCTGTTCTTATCACCCCGAACACGTGTGCCCCTTTCCAGCAGCAGCCGCAGCAGCCGCAGCCATGCACATCCACACGCACCTCGCCCGCATGGCTCTCCTCTCGTTCGCCACGCTACCGCTGCTGCCCTCTTGCTGCCCTCTTCGCCTGCCCGAGCCCCTGGGCTTCCGGGAATGTTTCCCTGCGGCCGCAGTTGCGACTCTCTCTCGCCAGCAAGGGGCAGTGATCCCGGGCGGTCTCCTACCCTCCTCGTCCACCTCCTCGTCGTCATCTTCCCCGGGGCATCACGCGGCCCGCTCCGTGCAGCAAAGCGAGGAGCCCTTGAACCACATCGTGAAGGAGCTGCGAGGGGTCGATAAGAACAAGGGCGGATTCAGGTTCCGCTTCGGCCGTGGAGGGGACAGAGATGATGATGATGATGGTGGTGGTGGTGGAGGGAGCCGTGGCGGAGGAGGAGAAGCAGCAGCGGGAGGAGAAGACGCCGTGATCCAGGCGTGGGCGACACGGCGAGGGATGAGACGGTGTCTCATGGTCCTCCTGCTACTGCTTGCCGCCAGAGATCGG